AAACTAAAGAATTATGAAACAAATTTATCAGAAATTAATATCTCTGACCTTCAGTAGTCAGAATCTATATATACCGACAAACACTGATCTAAATTCAGTTCTCAATACTAGTGTAGTGAACGAGAACATAGGTGGGGCAACCGAATTGTATTTAACGAAAATTACAGAGTTACTCAGTAAAATCGGAAAACCATATCGTAAATCGTTAATTTGCAAAATATCAGTCCATCATATCGAACTGGACTGTTTCTGTTGCAAAACATCAATCCATTGTCACTATTCATGCGTTTCATACAAATTCCATTGTTCTTCTCACTCTTCCCTTCTTGATCTTCCCCCATCTTCTGCTGCCAGACATTATGTTGACACTCACGTCATATACTACTTATAAGTAGCTCGCACCACACTAGTGGTGTTGTAATCCATACAATCGGCAGAATCAATATCAACAATTTCGTGTTCAAGATATTTTTGAATTAATAACAAAAAATTCACTAAGTAAATTCATACATGTATTTTTTTTCCGTTGATCAGTTCATCATTGAAGTGTTTGTTTATTTATTTGCAGGACTTTGAAGCTTATAAAATTTATGCAAAAGAATTATTAGATAATGAGAAAAATTTAAACAAAGAACTACGAAAATTGTACCATTGAATGCGATCAAAAATGATGTTTTTTATTTTTCAAAATAAAATTTATATTTTATAACTGATCATCATGATGTAACAAACACATCCATATTTAATCTGTCATATATCCAACAAAAAAAAAAGAATATTTACATGAATTTCTTTTTTTAATTTTTTATACACTGTTGTTACAAATAGAATATCACTATTTTATAAAATGTTGCAGACAAATGTAAGAGTGCTAGTGTTGTTATTTAGGGAAAAAAAGTACCAAAAATATATTCCATGTGGTATATGCTGACTCATTTTAATGTTTAAAAATGTCGAATAGCAAGATAATGTGTTTTGCACGACTATTCACTGTAAAACACTTACTTGTTGTAGTAATTTATAACACATGTCATAATCGAGTGTGCATGAGGCTATATAGTATTATTTGGCTGGCATCGTAGAAATATGTTGAGGCTTTTGAAAATACCACGACACTACTTACTTACTTAGGGCTGTTACCTCCAATGGAGCGTAGGCCGCCAACCAGCATTCTCCAGCTTACTCTGTCCTGGGCCTCCCTTTCCAGTTCTGTCCTATTGCTATTCATTCTTTTTCACCTCTGTCTCCGATTCTCGGCCTAATGTGTTCTTTGGTTTTCCTCATTTCGTTTGGCTTTGATGATCTCGTGTGAGGGCTTGTAACACAGTTGGGTGATTCCCTCAATGTCTATCCTATCCACCTCCAGAACTTCTTCCCGATTTCATACTCAGCTGAAATCGGGTTTACTTTCTGCCACAGTAGGTTGATAAGGAAGAAATTTCGTTATTGCTAAAGTTATAAAACTATTATACATCCAAAAGAAGAGAATTGGATTTCAATGAGGTCCGACCGTAACTGCTACCTTGACGTGGTGGTCGGGCTTGCCTACTGTGATGACCCAACCGAGCTATATTGGCTGGAACTTATGTTCCTGAAGGTTCTACCATGCCAGGCAGGTCGATTCGAGAACGACGAGACTAAAAGCAGCTATTCAAGATCTGGGGGCGAAGTCGTAGTGCTGACTGCATAGGGATGTGACAAGCAGTAAGGTGTTTCCCTCGGACAACCAGCATCTTCAGTGATGCTGGCCTTCTCACAAGGAAGGACGGAGTTAGAAAAGGTCGACCATAAAAATTTCATACCTCACCTTACCCCACGGATTTCCGTCTCCAGTGATAAGGGTTCCCACTAAGGGATTTAAAAGAGCGCTAATACTCAAAAATCCTATCATAAAAAGGTCGTGCGTGACCGGTCTCAAGCAGTTATCCCTTGGGCTCTGCGGTAACGCTCTCAGGTCGTTAAGACCAACACTAATCTACCTTCCTTTTGAGGTTCCTCAAGAAACACCCACAGTGTGGGCATCCGGGTAGTGACATCCGTCCTCATACCCGTAACAGCACGCGATGAAGCTTGTGTAATCAGATCAATCTTATGAAAGCAGCTGCAATAAATATTTTCATTATTAATTTTTTGGCGTATATTACCTAATAGCGTCAAGATCTCTTTATCCAATAATGAAGTTACATCCTAACCAATAACTCACTGACCGCGAATAATGACTAAATAATGTTAGTGTTTATTAGCCTACAAGTTCCTTCCTGTTGGAGGATGAAGATAACAAACAGATTTGCTGTCTATAATATCCCATTCTTAAAACCCATACAATTACATACCTCAAATAGCTGAAGTCAAAACAACATAAATAAGCAGTTGTTTGAAAATTCCCATTATACTCAAAAACTAATATATATATGAACAACGAATAGTCTTTTCATTGAATTCTTATCAGGTTCTACAATTATACATCCAAATGGATCACCAAAAAAAAGTAGATCGTTTCAAATTTTCGTATTTGTGAAGTTATTTATTTTGATGCTGAGATGGCTAATACACAAAATTAACTTGAATAAACTTATATGTTAAATGAAATGAAATTGCGACATCAATGATCAGAATAAATAAGGGTTAAGTGGGGTGAGAGAGATAATAATAGTACAGTTACCGAATTCAGTCGAATTTCTAGTGGATAATTTAATATAAATTCAACAAAAAATTTAAAATTAGGTGAATGTTAAGTGAATTGACCATGTGTTCGGTTAATGAATAGAGTGATGTTGAACCAACATTGTAATAATAATAATAAGATCGATGAATAACGATAACAAAGACAATTACATTCGATTATAAGACGTTGTGTGTTCATAAGTCATTCTATAGTCAAGATTACTACTGATTAATTGGGGATGCGGTTGGTCACTGTGAGAGAAGGTGTTGAACACATTGTTTTTGTGTGCACCACTCTGGATTTTCAATCCGTAATGCTTCTGTCATCTGAAGAATTTTGATTTGGACCAACTCCGGCAAAAATTACTAACCCAATAAATTATTGAGGAAGATTTATCTATACTTGCCCTATTGTGGTGAGCGCTACTTATAAGTAGTATATGACGCGAGTAAGAACGTAATGTCTGGCAGCAGAAGATGGGGGAAGATCAAGAAAGGAAGAGTGGGAAAACAATGGAATTTGTATGAAACGCATGAACAGTGAAATGTCAGACAATGGATCGATGTTTTGCAACAGGAACAGTCCAGTTCGATGGATTGATATTTTGCAAATTAATGATTTACGGTATGGTTTTCCTATTTTATCAATTAACTCAGTTGCCCTCACTTGTGTTCTCCTTCACTACACTATGACCCGTCTTCAGAAAATAACCGAGAATGGCACTTTTCACAGCCTTAACTACTCGTTTGCTTAGCCACGCTAGGTGTTCTCAAGTATGAATATGTCGATTCTTATAACCTCCACCAGAATAACTTGCTTCACAAGAGCTTTCGAATAGATAAATACAAAAATAAGGTGGTCATTCATCTTTTAGTCTCAGTGGGAGCTTAGAAAACACCATTTATTGTTTTCCCGAAGGCTGTATCACCCTTAAACTGTAGGAGCATGAACAAGGATTTTCTATGTACTGTTTGTATTTTGCCTATTCTAACGTTTATGCTCAAATAGTTGTTTATAAACTAAACGGGGTATTCGTTTTCCCTAAGCGTTATTACACAAGGCGTTTAGCTCTTCCTCAACTACATCAGTAGAACAAGTAGTACTAAGAGTCTTCACCATGTTCCTTTTGTACTGTAGAGTTACAAAGCTGAGGAAATGTTTTATATTGCCCTATCTAGATACTTTTCTTGTTTAAACCCGTTCTTATTGATCAAACCATTCTTAGGTTAATAGAACGTCCTAAAAGGTTACTCTACATTTAGTTTCTTCTTTAAATACAAAATTAATGTCTGAATGAACTTGATCAAATCGCCTCTAGTTGTAATATATTGTCGTTACAGTGGACAGAAGTGTCGATAGGAAAAGCTATAAACTGATTCACGATCTACATAGCTCAAAGGAAACATCTGTGACTGTGAAGCTGAATGGCACGACCCTATCCATCAGGAGTATCAGTTCTCTCAAGATTATAGGTATATGTTGCTAACAGGTGCCTAGTCGCATAAAACCTAGGTCCATGGTTTCTTGTCAAGTACCTCCAACAACCACCGTACATATCAGCACGATACACGCTAGACTAGTGGCCACAAACTAATTTGGTTGATCGGATTCGATCAGCACCTAAGACGAATATGACACATAAGATACTGGTCATTATTCAATGAATCAACTACATACTCAATTCGTCAGTTAATGCTTCTTCCACTTCTGAAAATCTCTTCCGTTTTAAAACTAGAAAGATTGATTCCATGTGGAAATCATCAATTCAGAATGTTAAATTTGACTTAACAATTATTTTTTCAAGTCATTTAGACTGCCATAACCATTCCATACGCTATATAACATAATATGAAAGTGCACTGCTTTTCTTATCGGGAATCTGGTAAAACTAAGTTTGATTTTTCATATTATATATATCAATGTACTGATAGTAGTAAGAAAATTATAAAATATGATAACCAAAGTTTTATCAATAGTAGGTCTAAGGTGGATGAATAGATTTCAAATAAACATTAAAACCATTACACAATAAGCAAACATGTAAAAATAAAAATAAAATAAGATAAACAATAGTTAATGTCAATCGTTAGTTACGTCATATCCCGCCTCGGAAGAGATAAAGATGTCACGAATTTCTTCTGAACACATAAATTGGGGTTGAATGTACGAATTCCTATGGCTTCTGCTATGTGTGGGAGCCGGGATTGAACTTCGTTTTGAAATGATTGAGGTATACGATAGATCACTCGAAAAGATCTAGAGTTATCTACATACAATATGGCCACTGTCAACCAGATGTGCTAAGATAGAACTGTGTACTGTTTTTGACTGACCCTTCGTAAACCATGCTGGGAGATGTTCACTCATTCGTTGTGTAAGTTGCCTGGTAGTACGCCCGATATAGCTATCTCCACAGGAGCATCTGAATTTGTAAATGCACACAGAGGAGGCCAACTCAGGATAGACATCACTGGTCGATTTGAGAAGGTAAACGCAAGTTTGGCTGCATTGAATGTTCTATTAATTGCTCTCATTAATCTGTCCTGCAGAGTATCGCAGGCCACATTTCCGTTGAATTGTATGTAATTTGATAAATAGTGGCTTCTTAGGACGGTCGAAATTAATGACTTCATTTTTTAAATCAACCATATACTTCCTTATGAATGCGGTGGGGTAACCGATCTCGGTCAGTGAGTTGTTAATAAATTACAGCTCCTGACTTAAAGTATCCATAGAACAGATCATTTTTGCTCTGCTAGTGAGACATCTAACCAAGTTTCTTTTGTAGCGGATAGTGTATTGATAAGCACTGGGATTTTTTCTATATACGCTTCCACTTAGCGAGTCATCCATCACTACGTCTACTTAATGTGACATCAAGAAAGGTCAGCTTTTTATCGTACTCCTCTTCACCAGTGAAACTGATTGCCGAGTGTACACTGTTGAATAATTATTCCAGGAGTTTTTCTTTGCTTGATATTTTGGTCTGCAATGAATGATGATGTATGTGTGTCATCGACGTACCGACAATATATAGATCAAGACACTGAATAGCTTCATTGAGTGGTGGTCCATTTTCTAGCTTTGCCTATAATGGGTTGTTCTAATTTTTTTCACAATAGGAATCTTTAATACTCACTCATATATCAATGTAACATGAATTTGATAAATAATCCTTAGTTCTATTTATTATTATTATTATTTTTATCACTTATTAAAATGAATAATGGGAAGAGATTTTTTTTATTTCCTTTCAATGTAACTTTAATATTTCAAATTTATCTTTAATGAATATCTTTTTAAATAGAATAAACATAATTTTAAAAAAAAATTTTATTCATTGACAATTTTTATCCCTTATTCAAATAATGAGGATGATGATGATGATGATGATGACCACAGGAAGTATACACTAATGTCAGTGTACAATCGAAAAACTTTTCTAGAAAAAAAAATAATTCTCAGTAAATTTCTCGAGTTCTGTATTTTTGTAATGGTAAACTACTAGAGAGCTTCTTTTTATATACTTAGCAACAGTCACTTCCTGGAAACTTCAGAGTAGAATACTTACCTTTCAGTATATATATATATATATATATATATATATATATATATATATATATTAGGAGGAGATAGGGAACTTAATTACTCACCATCAACTTCGAACTATTATGGATATTAAAAATTCAACTAAGAAAAATCAACCAAACGATAGACTATGTCAAATGTCTAAGTCCACAAAAAGATTAACTCATTTAAAATCTGATGAATATTACAGACAAATAATATGTGAAAGAAGCTTGTATCAATTAAAACCACTGCCTGGAAAGGAATTTAATTATAAACTGGCGAAAATAATCATTGAACAGGTAAGAATGGCTTCTTTTTTGAACATTTTAAGGAATTAAGGTTGACAGCAATGAGAATGTTTTAATTGATGTATATGTTTCATCTACAGAATAACTCATCAAGAAAACTAACTTTAAAAAAAGACATTCGAGAGTTTGAGATGGTGGAGAAAACTTGTAGCTCAGGTGGATGATTGTGGTGGTGTTTCGTTCTCTGAGCTGGTTGTTTTGCTTGTGTATTTCGTTGTTGTGCTGTTAGTTGGTTGTTGCCTCTCTTCCGTCGAGTTAATGGTACTATGGTTTGCCTTATTTCTTGTTGAGTTTCTGCCGTTTTTAAGTGATGACTCTAATGCCGTGAAGAATTCCAATTTTGAAGCGTCCTTCGTGTTATATATAGTTTAATCCTTTTTGGAGCAGTTGTTCTTCTGTTGTCGTTAGATGTGCTTCGATAGGTTGAGCTGAGAACTGTTTGCGTTTTCTTCTGTGGGTGGCTTTGAAATCTTGATTAGTTTGTCTTTGAAGGATGCTTCTTCTTTGTTCTCTGTGTCGTCTGCTTGACAGTTCCGATCGCCGTTGTCAACGTTGTTAAGTGTTCTGATGTAAGTATTCTTTCAATATTTTTTGTTCATCCATGTTGTGATGGTATTTGTGGATCCTGTAGTGTGCATCGGTGATCATTAATTGTACCATATGGTACAATTAATGATCACCGATGCACACTACAGGATCCACAAATACCAGCACAACATGGATGAACAAAAAATATTGAAAGAATACTTACATCAGAACACTTAACAACGTTGACAACGGCGATCGAACTGTCAAGCAGACGACACAGAGAACAAAGAAGAAGCATCCTCAAAGACAAACTAATCAAGATTTCAAAGCCACCCACAGAAGAAAACGCAAACAGTTCTGTGGTCAACCTATCGAAGCAACATCTAACGACAACAGAAGAACAACTGCTCCAAAAAGGATTAAACTATAACACGAAGGACGCTTCAAAACTGGAATTCTTCGCGGCATTAGAGTCATCACTTAAAACGGCAGGAATAAGTGCAGAAACTCAACAAGAAATAAGGCAAACGATAGTACCACTAACTCGACGGAAGAGAGACAACAACCAACTAACAGCACAACAACGAAATACACAAGCAAAACAACCAGCTCAGAGAACGAAACACCACCACAATCATCCACCTGAGCTACAAGTTTTCTCCACCATCTCAAACTCTCGAATGTCTTTTTTTAAAGTTAGTTTTCTTGATGAGTTATTCTGTAGATGAAACATATACATCAATTAAACATTCTCATTGCTGTCAACCTTAATTCCTTAAAATGTTCAAAAAAGAAGCCATTCTTACCTGTTCAATGATTATTTTCGCCAGTTTATAATTAAATTCCTTTCCAGGCAGTGGTTTTAATTGATACAAGCTTCTTTCACATATTATTTGTCTGTAATATTCATCAGATTTTAAATGAGTTAATCTTTTTGTGGACTTAGACATTTGACATAGTCTATCGTTTGGTTGATTTTTCTTAGTTGAATTTTTAATATCCATAATAGGTTCGAAGTTGATGGTGGTATTAAGGTCCCTATCTCCTCCTAATCTATATATATATAGTATAATAAATATATATATAATATATATAACTATATATACTGAAAGGTAAGTATTCCTACTCATGAAGTTTCCAGGAAGTGGACTGTTGGGCTAAGTATATGAAAAAGAAGGCTCTCTAGTAGTTATATCCCATGACAAAAATACAGAACTCGAGAAATTTACTTGCAGAATTATTTTTTTTTTCTAGAAAAGGTTTTGCCGATTGTAACACTGACAATTAGCATCATCATCATCATCATCATCCTCATTATTTGAATAAGGGATAAAATTGTCAATGAATAAAATTTTTTTTAAAATTATGTTTATTCTATTTAAAAAGATATTCATTAAAGATAAATTTGAAATATTAAAGTTACATTGAAAAGGAAATAAAAAAAAATCTCTTCCCATTATTCATTTTAATAAGTGATAAAAATAATAATAATAATAAATAGAACTAAGGATTATTTATCAAATTCATGTTACATTGATATATGAGTGAGTATTAAAGATTCCTATTGTGAAAAAAATTAGAACAACCCATTATAGGCAAAGCTAGAAAATGGACCACCACTCAATGAAGCTATTCAGTGTCTTGATCTATATATTGTCGGTACGTCGATGACACACATACATCATCATTCATTGCAGACCAAAATATCAAGCAAAGAAAAACTCCTGGAATAATTATTCAACAGTGTACACTCGGCAATCAGTTTCACTGGTGAAGAGGAGTACGATAAAAAGCTGACCTTTCTTGATGTCACATTAAGTAGACGTAGTGATGGATGACTCGCTAAGTGGAAGCGTATATAGAAAAAAATCCCATTGCTTATCAATACACTATCCGCTACAAAAGAAACTTGGTTAGATGTCTCACTAGCAGAGCAAAAATGATCTGTTCTATGGATACTTTAAGTCAGGAGCTGTAATTTATTAACAACTCACTGACCGAGATCGGTTACCCCACCGCATTCATAAGGAAGTATATGGTTGATTTAAAAAATGAAGTCATTAATTTCGACCGTCCTAAGAAGCCACTATTTATCAAATTACATACAATTCAACGGAAATGTGGCCTGCGATACTCTGCAGGACAGATTAATGAGAGCAATTAATAGAACATTCAATGCAGCCAAACTTGCGTTTACCTTCTCAAATCGACCAGTGATGTCTATCCTGAGTTGGCCTCCTCTGTGTGCATTTACAAATTCAGATGCTCCTGTGGAGATAGCTATATCGGGCGTACTACCAGGCAACTTACACAACGAATGAGTGAACATCTCCCAGCATGGTTTACGAAGGGTCAGTCAAAAACAGTACACAGTTCTATCTTAGCACATCTGGTTGACAGTGGCCATATTGTATGTAGATAACTCTAGATCTTTTCGAGTGATCTATCATATACCTCAATCATTTCCCAACGGAGTTCGATCCCGTCTCCTACACATAGCAGAAGCCATAGGAATTCGTACATTCAACCCCAATTTATGTGTTCAGAAGAAATTCGTGACACCTTTATCTCTTCCGTGGCCGAATATGACGTAACTAAAGACTGACATTAACTATTGTTTATCTTATTTTATTTTTATTTTTACATGTTTGCTTATTGTGTAATGGTTTTAATGTTTATTTGAAATCTATTCATCCACCTTAGACCTACTATTGATAAAACTTTGGTTATCATATTTTATAATTTTCTTACTACTATCAGTACATTGATATATATAATATGAAAAATCAAACTTAGTTTTACCAGATTCCCGATAAGAAAAGCAGTGCACTTTCATATTATGTTATATAGCGTATGGAATGGTTATGGCAGTCTAAATGACTTGAAAAAATAATTGTTAAGTCAAATTTAACATTCTGAATTGATGATTTCCACATGGAATCAATCTTTCTAGTTTTAAAACGGAAGAGATTTTCAGAAGTGGAAGAAGCATTAACTGACGAATTGAGTATGTAGTTGATTCATTGAATAATGACCAGTATCTTATGTGTCATATTCGTCTTAGGTGCTGATCGAATCCGATCAACCAAATTAGTTTGTGGCCACTAGTCTAGCGTGTATCGTGCTGATATGTACGGTGGTTGTTGGAGGTACTTGACAAGAAACCATGGACCTAGGTTTTATGCGACTAGGCACCTGTTAGCAACATATACCTATAATCTTGAGAGAACTGATACTCCTGATGGATAGGGTCGTGCCATTCAGCTTCACAGTCACAGATGTTTCCTTTGAGCTATGTAGATCGTGAATCAGTTTATAGCTTTTCCTATCGACACTTCTGTCCACTGTAACGACAATATATTACAACTAGAGGCGATTTGATCAAGTTCATTCAGACATTAATTTTGTATTTAAAGAAGAAACTAAATGTAGAGTAACCTTTTAGGACGTTCTATTAACCTAAGAATGGTTTGATCAATAAGAACGGGTTTAAACAAGAAAAGTATCTAGATAGGGCAATATAAAACATTTCCTCAGCTTTGTAACTCTACAGTACAAAAGGAACATGGTGAAGACTCTTAGTACTACTTGTTCTACTGATGTAGTTGAGGAAGAGCTAAACGCCTTGTGTAATAACGCTTAGGGAAAACGAATACCCCGTTTAGTTTATAAACAACTATTTGAGCATAAACGTTAGAATAGGCAAAATACAAACAGTACATAGAAAATCCTTGTTCATGCTCCTACAGTTTAAGGGTGATACAGCCTTCGGGAAAACAATAAATGGTGTTTTCTAAGCTCCCACTGAGACTAAAAGATGAATGACCACCTTATTTTTGTATTTATCTATTCGAAAGCTCTTGTGAAGCAAGTTATTCTGGTGGAGGTTATAAGAATCGACATATTCATACTTGAGAACACCTAGCGTGGCTAAGCAAACGAGTAGTTAAGGCTGTGAAAAGTGCCATTCTCGGTTATTTTCTGAAGACGGGTCATAGTGTAGTGAAGGAGAACACAAGTGAGGGCAACTGAGTTAATTGATAAAATAGGAAAACCATACCGTAAATCATTAATTTGCAAAATATCAATCCATCGAACTGGACTGTTCCTGTTGCAAAACATCGATCCATTGTCTGACATTTCACTGTTCATGCGTTTCATACAAATTCCATTGTTTTCCCACTCTTCCTTTCTTGATCTTCCCCCATCTTCTGCTGCCAGACATTACGTTCTTACTCGCGTCATATACTACTTATAAGTAGCGCTCACCACAATAGGGCAAGTATAGATAAATCTTCCTCAATAATTTATTGGGTTAGTAATTTTTGCCGGAGTTGGTCCAAATCAAAATTCTTCAGATGACAGAAGCATTACGGATTGAAAATCCAGAGTGGTGCACACAAAAACAATGTGTTCAACACCTTCTCTCACAGTGACCAACCGCATCCCCAATTAATCAGTAGTAATCTTGACTATAGAATGACTTATGAACACACAACGTCTTATAATCGAATGTAATTGTCTTTGTTATCGTTATTCATCGATCTTATTATTATTATTACAATGTTGGTTCAACATCACTCTATTCATTAACCGAACACATGGTCAATTCACTTAACATTCACCTAATTTTAAATTTTTTGTTGAATTTATATTAAATTATCCACTAGAAATTCGACTGAATTCGGTAACTGTACTATTATTATCTCTCTCACCCCACTTAACCCTTATTTATTCTGATCATTGATGTCGCAATTTCATTTCATTTAACATATAAGTTTATTCAAGTTAATTTTGTGTATTAGCCATCTCAGCATCAAAATAAATAACTTCACAAATACGAAAATTTGAAACGATCTACTTTTTTTTGGTGATCCATTTGGATGTATAATTGTAGAACCTGATAAGAATTCAATGAAAAGACTATTCGTTGTTCATATATATATTAGTTTTTGAGTATAATGGGAATTTTCAAACAACTGCTTATTTATGTTGTTTTGACTTCAGCTATTTGAGGTATGTAATTGTATGGGTTTTAAGAATGGGATATTATAGACAGCAAATCTGTTTGTTATCTTCATCCTCCAACAGGAAGGAACTTGTAGGCTAATAAACACTAACATTATTTAGTCATTATTCGCGGTCAGTGAGTTATTGGTTAGGATGTAACTTCATTATTGGATAAAGAGATCTTGACGCTATTAGGTAATATACGCCAAAAAATTAATAATGAAAATATTTATTGCAGCTGCTTTCATAAGATTGATCTGATTACACAAGCTTCATCGCGTGCTGTTACGGGTATGAGGACGGATGTCACTACCCGGATGCCCACACTGTGGGTGTTTCTTGAGGAACCTCAAAAGGAAGGTAGATTAGTGTTGGTCTTAACGACCTGAGAGCGTTACCGCAGAGCCCAAGGGATAACTGCTTGAGACCGGTCACGCACGACCTTTTTATGATAGGATTTTTGAGTATTAGCTTCGCTCTTTTAAATCCCTTAGTGGGAACCCTTATCACTGGAGACGGAAATCCGTGAGGTAGGGTGAGGTGTGACATTTTTATGGTCGACCTTTTCTAACTCCGTCCTTCCTTGTGAGAAGGCAGCATCACTGAAGATGCTGGTTGTCCGAGGGAAACACCTTACTGCTGTCACATCCCTATGCAGTCAGCACTACGACTTCGCCCCCAGATCTTGAATAGCTGCTTTTAGTCTCGTCGTTCTCGAATCGACCTGCCTGGCATGGTAGAACCTTCAGGAACATAAGTTCCAGCCAATATAGCTCGGTTGGGTCATCACAGTAGGCAAGCCCGACCACCACGTCAAGGTAGCAGTTACGGTCGGACCTCATTGAAATCCAATTCTCTTCTTTTGGATGTATAATAGTTTTATAACTTTAGCAATAACGAAATTTCTTCCTTATCAACCTACTGTGGCAGAAAGTAAACCCGATTTCAGCTGAGTATGAAATCGGGAAGAAGTTCTGGAGGTGGATAGGATAGACATTGAGGGAATCACCCAACTGTGTTACAAGCCCTCACACGAGATCATCAAAGCCAAACGAAATGAGGAAAACCAAAGAACACATTAGGCCGAGAATCGGAGACAGAGGTGAAAAAGAATGAATAGCAATAGGACAGAACTGGAAAGGGAGGCCCAGGACAGAGTAAGCTGGAGAATGCTGGTTGGCGGCCTACGCTCCATTGGAGGTAACAGCCCTAAGTAAGTAAGTAGTGTCGTGGTATTTTCAAAAGCCTCAACATATTTCTACGATGCCAGCCAAATAATACTATATAGCCTCATGCACACTCGATTATGACATGTGTTATAAATTACTACAACAAGTAAGTGTTTTACAGTGAATAGTCGTGCAAAACACATTATCTTGCTATTCGACATTTTTAAACATTAAAATGAGTCAGCATATACCACATGGAATATATTTTTGGTACTTTTTTTCCCTAAATAACAACACTAGCACTCTTACATTTGTCTGCAACATTTTATAAAATAGTGATATTCTATTTGTAACAACAGTGTATAAAAAATTAAAAAAAGAAATTCATGTAAATATTCTTTTTTTTTTGTTGGATATATGACAGATTAAATATGGATGTGTTTGTTACATCATGATGATCAGTTATAAAATATAAATTTTATTTTGAAAAATAAAAAACATCATTTTTGATCGCATTCAATGGTACAATTTTCGTAGTTCTTTGTTTAAATTTTTCTCATTATCTAATAATTCTTTTGCATAAATTTTATAAGCTTCAAAGTCCTGCAAATAAATAAACAAACACTTCAATGATGAACTGATCAACGGAAAAAAAATACATGTATGAATTTACTTAGTGAATTTTTTGTTATTAATTCAAAAATATCTTGAACACGAAATTGTTGATATTGATTCTGCCGATTGTATGGATTACAACACCACTAGTGTGGTGCGAGCTACTTATAAGTAGTATATGACGTGAGTGTCAACATAATGTCTGGCAGCAGAAGATGGGGGAAGATCAAGAAGGGAAGAGTGAGAAGAACAATGGAATTTGTATGAAACGCATGAATAGTGACAATGGATTGATGTTTTGCAACAGAAACAGTCCAGTTCGATATGATGGACTGATATTTTGCAAATTAACGATTTACGATATGGTTTTCCGATTTTACTGAGTAACTCTGTAATTTTCGTTAAATACAATTCGGTTGCCCCACCTATGTTCTCGTTCACTACACTAGTATTGAGAACTGAATTTAGATCAGTGTTTGTCGGTATATATAGATTCTGACTACTGAAGGTCAGAGATATTAATTTCTGATAAATTTGTTTCATAATTCTTTAGTTTGCAGTGTGTGTACACTTATGCCCGGCCAACAGGGCTCGTCCCTACTGTCAAGTTCTATTATTCACTCGTCTTTTGACCTTGTCAGTCATTTGCTCATATTTTGGTTGTTTTTATTCGTGTGTGTGTGCACATCCAACTTGCTCATTACATATCATCTTTCATTTGGTCTCACTATAAACGCTTAGTCCATGCTTCATCGAAATGAGAGTTGGCTCACGCGAATTCTCTGCTTCGCTTTGCTTTGCCCGTATACTTTTTATCATCATGTCTGTATAAACGATTGCCCGACATAAACTTATCCAACCGAATTCGTATTTGGTTTCTTATTACCGCGATTGCACAAACACGGTTGGCCTTGGTACAATATACGGAAATTGATGGAGAGATTTATTTCATCTGATACTCGATCGTTCTTAAATAAAGAAGGTAGTTCACGGGCAACTAGACTGGTGGACCCTACTTCGAGTTCAATGCAGCCACTAAAGTGGTAAGCTCTACAACGAATTCAATACAGGCACAAAAAGTAATGAGCCCTACATCGAATCTAACGTAGCCACCAAAAGTTATATCAAGTGTGTTTGACCTATTTCGCCTGTATATTCTCCATATCAGATTCAGGACTTTTGATTTTGAATCCCTAAAACCTATTGTATTCTTTTTATGAGATGACTTGTAAATAGATTAGATCCTCTTAATAAATCTTCATTCATAGAATACAAGATATGTGCACATTTGTTAACAGAAACACTCATACTACGCGAGAAAAAATCTATTTTCATGATTTTGATCTGTTTATAATGACTGACTAGCGTTGATCAGTTGATATTACTACATAAAATGTTTGTTATTTATAAATAAAGTTTGAAAGACAAATGGATATGTTGTAATCCAACTAGTTGCTCATCAATAATTTGTGCTACCATAATACAAATCAGATTAATTTTGATTGTAACAGATACAACAAATTTAATTTTTGAACCTACAAACAGAGTGAATATACTAACTGACAAGTGGACTGAGTCATGTTGGTAGATGTAGGCTACCTGGTTGGGGTCCGCGAGACGATAGTCACCGATGGTTAGAGACATTGAACGACATGGCTTAAAATCGTTTGCAATGGAGCAGGTGCATCCACTCGTTGTGTTCTATGAAATTCTAAACTTCTGCATTCCTCATGATCTCTACCTTTCTCCTTCTAAATTTATCTTACTGAATTATACTTCTCGAATCATATCTTCGCTCCCTAATCTTCTCCATTACTGCTAATACTTCTACTATCGCTATCACTCTTGGATTTGAACTGATAGTTGCGTCTCTGTGCTGATGGGGCATGGCAACCTGAACTGATGTACTTACGTACGAATTTCTACGTTGTATCTGCCTTGTCTTGAATCTTATATTACTTCATTTGTAAAAATAATAATAATAACTAACGATAATAAACAATAGTTTTTATTCATATTTTTTATAGATATGAAACAACATTTATTATAACAACAGAGTAACAACAACAAATTATACAACAGTAATTCAAAGTACATTATTGACATGCAAAACATCCAACATACCAGTCAATGCAAACTTACTGCTACTACTACTCCTCAGTAAACAATAAAAAGCAATCACATGATTAAATCAAAAAAATTAATCATTATCAGCGAATTTTACAAACGAAATATAAGATTGTTCATTTTATCATGGATTTGAATTAGTTTAGATTATTCCAAGAGAGAAAGTGGCTGATATCTTTTATATCAAGAGATTAGACAATATCAATAGATAAAGAGGAACAAGTGTTCTTTGTTTGTTAAAACATATTGATAAAGTTATAGTGAAGTTGAATTCGAAACATTCTTGGCTAAATTTAGCCAAATGTCACTACTGAATTATCTAAGATATGAATGAATTCTACTATTATACTGCACAGGACACATTGGTTTTGTTTTTACAAAGTCTACTGAACTTTGCAAACTAAATTTGTAATTTAGGTTTAGAAATATTTACGCTTAGTCAAAATACACGGGTACTCTCGTCTAACTAGATGTCTACATTTTTTATTTGTCTAGGTCATTATCTTGGTCAGTACTACGAGACTGAGCAACGAAATAACAGTTAATACCAATTAGTTCCTTGTTGCGTTGGTTTTACAGATAAAATACTCTGTGTGAAATTTTAAAAAGCAAGAATTATTTATTTGAAATTGCATTCCTAGTTCAACTCAAGGTACAACACTAGTGAAAAGCATAGTGATATGTTACCCACACAACTTCACCACGTCAATTGATATGCTTGAACTATTATGAGTTTACCTTAGTCAGTAAACGAAAGCGAAGACAAATGATCCAGTGACACGATAGGCTACTCTAATCCTAGTGTCTCAAACCAACAATGAATAGAGAGAAGAAGACTTGCTATGAAGTACAAGATGTATTCTACAAGCATCCAGAAAGTACGAGGTCCGAGTCCAGAAGAGGCTAAGGATCCTGCACGAGAGGATCCGAGTCATAAAACGTTACAGATAATGCATATTTATGCAGTTAGGCACATTGAAGTATGTGACATTCATTGTTAGGACGGCCAATAGGAATTAACCAGTAGCAATTAACCAATAGAACTAGACTTACAAATAATACTCTTAGGATATTTGTTTCATATCCTAACAATATCGAAAAATAATTTTAATAGCAGACCAAAGTAAGTATGGTATGCGAAGTATGTTATAACGTTAGGATACCATTGATTATACCGATTTTATATTGAACCATTAGCGACGGTGAAACTATGAATGCTCTCACTCACTTTTTTTAGCATTACAGATAATGCACAAGTATACTGCTATCTTGTTTAATAATTTTGACATGATAAAAAGAATTTTATCAGTTTCAATGTGTTTTATGTCTTATTTCTGTGGTTAGTATTTATGTCTTAATCTGGGGAGGGGTATGCTTGTGGGTGAAAAGACGATTAAAATTATTATACGGTAAATTATCCAATATTTCTTAATATATCATTATTAGCTAATTAGCTGATGATGTTGTCTTAATGATACACTTTTGCTGCAGATGCTGGTTGTCCGAGGGAAACACCTTACTGCTGTCACACCTATCTGTAGTCAGCAGTACGACCTCTCCCTCAGATCTTGAGTAGCTACTTTTAGTCTCGTCGTTCTCCAATCGACCTGCCTGGCATGGTAGATAGAACCTTCAGGGACACCAACTGCTTCGACGAGCTATGTTTTGTGATGTAGGAGTAGGTTGGAAGAAAGCTAGGGGCGGCCAAACCAAAACATGGCAGAAATTTATGAAGTCACTAACAAGTGGACTGAGACATGTTGGTTGATGTGAGCTACCTGGTTGGGGTCCGCGAGACGAAAGTCACCAATGGTTAGAGACCTTGAACGACATGGCTCAGAATCGTTTGCAATGGAGCAGGTGGATCCACTCTTTTTGTGCTCTCAAATCGTTAATCTTTTAAATTCTTCATTACCTTTATCTTCCTTTTTTAAGTTTTTTTCACTGCATAATACTTTTTGAATAATTTCTTCGAACCCAAATCTTATCCATTACTTCAAATACTTCTACTATCTTTACTACTATGGGATTTGCATTGACCATTGCGTCTCTGTACTAATGCAGTATGGCAATTTGAAATGATGTACGTACGTACGAAGGTCTATGTTGTAGCTAACTGACTGATCATATCACGTAAAAAATTACGAAATTTAATTTTGTAATGATGTGTAGTCATGTTATTAACATACTTAAGCCTATAGGTTTTAGACTAAAATTTAAAAAAAAAAGGTTTATTGGATTGTGTCTGTTTTTTGACTGGCTCGTGTACATAGAATAGGCTCACTGAAACAATAAGATTTAGAAGTTTCGCAGTCGTTTCTCACGAACATTACATGATATTGGTTGTTTGCGAAGATCGTTAGTCTAGTATACGGGTAAAGCGTACTGATAATTAGTGTGCTTCATAACTTGATTCACTACACAAAAGAGGGTAAGAAAGCCGCAGCACGAGCCCTTAGCATTTTTTTGTGATAAGATGAAATAACATTTTTCAGACAATGTTACTAATTAATCAAACAATATTATATGACAAAATTGATTTTCTTCGACCTAATTATTTTCAACTGAATGGCATCGTGTGACTTCAGATCTTCCGCGAAAAGAACACGTTTCTAAAGCTAGTCTGTACAATAATTTAACATAGTAATTCTGACTCTTGCTGGTAATAATAATAATAATAATAATAATAATAATAATAATAATAATAATAATGAACTTTTAAAACAATTACTCTTTGAAACAAACAAATTTATACCTGTTTTACTTGTTCCGCTTGAAGTTTGGAAATGCTAAGTTCTTCCTTTAAACGCTTGATATGCTTATTAGCGTTAAATTCTTTCATGTCATGTCTGTTTTTAAAAAAAAAGACATAAAAATGAAATAGAATCAAAATACTTCAACTATGATGTGATGTATTGTTATTAATGTTATGTCTCGATAAAAAAATGTTAATTACTGTTAACATACTGTAACATACGAAGAAGTCAAGATCATTTAGAATATGAATATTCGAAGAACATATCGTTTATTTACAAAATATGTACACATAATCTGGTGGAGAAAATTTGTAGCTCAGGTGGATGATTAAGGTGATGTTTCGTTCTCAGAGAACGAAACACCATATACATAATCTTCAAACATCTATTTGCAATACACGCAGGCTATTGGTTATCTGCCTACATATCTCTTCGAGTATTCGGCATACTCCGATTGCTTTATGCGTTCCGATCCCCAGATACTCTTCTCTCTGGTAGCAACTTCTAGGCGATACTCCATTGCACACCATCTATAATATTCTACCTTGTGAATAGCACCCATCACACTGGCAATGCTGTTGGTCATGGCTGCTTATTATATATTTAAATGAACAAGTCTAAAATGACTCGACATAATGAAGAGGTAAGATTGTGTGTGTGTGTGTTAGGAAGATTTATTTGTCAACAAACCACTGCTTAAAAACGACATCCAAAATCACATATCATTTTCTATGTTCGCTCAATAAATCAATATGAATGCATTGGACTAGCAGTTGATATACCTAAACTACTGAGTTATATTTTGCAACAACCTACTTTGGCAGAAAACAAGGCAGATTCCAGTGGAGGAGGAAATCAGGAAGAAACGGTGGAAGTGGATAGGACGCAAGTTGCAGAAAGCGCCCAACTGCCTCACAAAACAAGCTCTCATTTGGAACTCTCAAAGTAAAATAAAAAGTGGAGGGCAAAGGAAAACATAACACCGAGATATATAGAGAAAGATATGAGAAGAACGAACAAACATTGGACAGAACTGGAAAGGGAAGCCAAGGATAGAGTAGGTTGGAGAAAACTGGTCGGCGGCCTATGCTCCATTGGGGGTAACAGGCGTAAGGAAGGAAGTAAGTAAGTAAGTATATATCCACATAATTGATGATTGATCAATGATCAAAGGCGTAAGTGATATTTTGCTTTTTCATAATAATTAGGCTTAACAGTCAAGTCTTACATGATTAGAAATTGAGTGGCTGAAAAACTGATTTACTTCCATCATCCATGACATTTTATCACATACCACCACATTACTCTACTGACTAATTGTCTTGTTTCTCATTTTCAAATTATTTGTGGCCTCATAGTCAACAATGAAGTTATGTGATGGGGCATTACATGGCCATATTCCATTCCTGCATATCATCGATTGACTAACACTGTATTCATTGATTTCTTGAAGCAAAAATTTGCTCATAAAATCGTAATATGTAAAATCAACATATTAGAACAATCGTCCGATAGTAGACAATCAGATTTCCTGTCATACATTTACACTTTCAAGACAGTTTGGTATACCGAGTAGAATACGTGAGAGTTAAATTTCTGTAGTCTACCTAGCACAAATTTGATGAATAAATCTTCTAAATTATGTACATCATATTTACAGCTGTTAAAACAGATTCAGACACAAAGGAATAAACAAGCTGAAAGCAAACAGTATCGTTGAGAACTAAAGAAAGGTTAATATTTTTATGCTTCTAAACACATATGAATGTGGTGTTATGATAACGTGCAGTCAGGATTGTAAGCATTTCCATCTAGACATACTTAATTCATTCGGGTCATACTATCAAGATAAATCAATGCGTTTTCGGTAGTTTATTGTAGTTGCAATTATCTGTCAATATATGTTAGACTCAAAGTCTCTGAAACGACAGAAGAAATAGTTATACAGGGTACAAGTAAGGAGCTTCGCATGCGAAAGATATATCCAATCCTTCGGTTAATCTTCGTCAAAAAGTTGACCAAAATGTCAGTTATATCAATATTAGACAACCTAATTTGGTTAATATACATATAAACTTATCCTATGTAGTAACACAACTTCAATAATGTGCTATCCAGATATGGTCTTACCATCATTATTATTCAAATATTCTTGTTATAGCTCAACATGATTTCCATATTTTGTATCATGAACAAAAAAATGCTCCCACTTACAGAAAAGCAAGCAAGCTGCATGCTGATTAGCTAATTCTTATCCAATCAGCGCTATTCAATGCCTGGAGAACATTCTAAAAGCTTCTCGTGTAAAAAACTATAAAAGATACTAACGTTGTTCCGATTTCGTCTTCGCTTCAGCTTCATACTTCCATTTAACCTTTCTGTATGGAATATAATCCTCTTCCCTGTTCAACCGTGTTCTGATTTGTGAACTTATTGAGTGGATTGATGTCCGTGAATACCAAGGCAACAGACATAGCTAGGTTCTACTAAGAGAGAATTATAATATTAATTTTCCTAGTCTACATGGATTGTTCAGTCATGTATAGATAAACAAAAGATTTATGAACTTCAAAAAGGAGGAACACAATGATCTTTTGAATAACCTACCATTAAGAAATAAAATCTAATAAAATGATTTAGATGCCTTTATTGAATTTGCAATAAACATTAAAACAGTATTCATTGACTTACTCTCTTTGTTCTTTTAGTTTATGGATGATATTTTCTAATTTGTTTTTATCTTCTTCCATTGTATTCAGTTTATTACATAATTCCTTAAAAGAAAAGATTAAAAAGCTCAGAGTTAGTAAAACTCATTACTATTAAAATCAGTCAATTTTTTAAACGAATTTATTGATGAAACATTTATTGCGGGGTTGTTGTGAAGATTGTTAAGTTTTATTTGTAACCATGAATCGATCAATGTTAGACCACCATTAGAAACCTGGAAGCACTGGACGGCCGTTTCGTCCTGGTATGGGACTCATCAGCAGTGCGCATCCACGACTCCTGCACCCCGCAGGATTCGAAACCAGGACCTTCGGTATTTTGCGCGAACGCCCTAACCGTTAGACCACTGAGCCGGTATCTAACGGTGTTAATGTCTAACTTAATCAAATCCATGGAGTTGCGCAACCTCACACCCTGTATACATCCGGACAGGTTTGAACTTCACTGGTCACGACTTCCCACTAGAACTCAGAGAAGATTCCTCACCAAGCTAGTCACTAGTGGACACATGTAATTGCATTGTGGGGTTGTTGTAAAGATTGTTCAGTTTTATTTCTAATCATGAATCGATCAATGTTAGACCACCATTAGAAACCTGGAAGCACTGGACGGTCGTTTCGTAATTTCTACTGAAATGACACATCATCTAAATTGTATGTGTTCTCGTTCACTACAGTAGAGGTAGTAAAGGTATTAGCAGTAATCGGAGAGATTAGGGTTCGAATATATTATTGAAGAAGTAGAATCTAGTGAACTAAATTTAAAAAGAAAAAAGATAAAGGTGATGAGGGACTCAAAAGTTTAAGATTTGAGAGAACACGAACTCGCTAAAAAAAACGTTAATTATATTGACTAAATATCCTCAACAAAGCATATGCAGTAGACACTGAGATTGTTACTGTGTAGTTAAATTCCGAGTGTTACATTGTTATACAACAATTTTAACCTATTCAAAACTTTGTGGCATATTTCGTTTGAAGAATAAGCAGCCATCATTGATAAATGTATTTATTTTCCGAAACAGTTTGTTTGACTCATCTCACAGACTTTCCATTAGCTTTGTTATAGACATAATACTATTTATTACGAAAAATTTTTTAAACCAGAATGCATTTTTTGAAGTACAACTGTCAGAATCTAATTCAAGTCCAGAAGTTTAAGTGCATCAATAATTAGTTGTATTATCACTATTATTATTATTATCTTCAACTGCTAATATGGTCATTGTGTAATATTTTGAAACTATCGGAAAATTTATTATTTCTTGAATTTCAAAAAAAAAAAAACTAAAATCAAAATTATGGAAAAGATAGGCATTTATTTCAACTCTAAATCAATATTAAAGATTTATTTATCTAATTTCAAGTCAACTTTTTGGTTGCTCAATCAACAAGATCACCTGTTTAGTTGACTAATGCTTTTCACTATCCCTGTACACTAGTTATTCAACATTTGAAAGAAACAGTAATGAACCTCACTAGACCAAGAAAAACAAGCATGTATTTAGAGTGAAATTAAAAGCTTCGCTTGTAAATTAATACCTGAACCGCGTCCGCGAGATGATAATAATCGATAGTTAGAGACCTTGAATGACATTGCTCAAAATCGTTCGCAATGGCACCGGTGCATTTATGCTTTGTGTTCTCTCAAATCCTAATCTTCTGGATTCTTCAACACATCTAGTTGTGACTTTCTAAACTTTTCTCATTAAATCATACTTCTTGAATAATATCTTCTAATCCTAACCTCTGCGATTACTCCTAATACCTTTACTACCCCTTCTACTATTGGATTTGAATTGACAATTACATCTCTGTGCTGATGTGGTATGGCGACATGAACTGATGTACTTACGTACGAACTTCTACGTTGCATCTGACTGACTGACTGAATACCTGAACCTACTGAAATTATTGATGGCTAGTGTTTGAGTTTATCTCTTGAACATATACTTATTTCTCGTAAAAATATATCTACAATAATAAGTGTCTTACGATATCGTCCAGATATTTGTAACCTTATTACCTAAAGTGACTTACAATAATGATATTCATTTGAAGAAAATAAAGATGTGCTTATTAGAGCATTAATCGATAAATTATCATTCGTCTGGTTCGACTCCTTTTTCACACGCTTCTTAATCGACTCATATATTGTATTGTATTATACTGACTTATTAAGTACTACTATACAGAAGTTGAATAATTCAAGTCCATGAATCAACTTTATTCCAGTCAAGTGTTCAAACTACTTATATCAAGCATATCAGTAAGATATTTATCAAATCAAAAAAAACAATGTCAAACAATATATATATATATTACCTACTTTATTTAAATGCTTTTCATTTTCTAACTGTAGAAATAAACTTTGTCTTTCATTTTTCCTGTTAACATCGTCATCATGATAAGCTTGATTGATTTTTAAGCAAAAATTACATGTTGTTGAAATTAAGTCCGTCAAATTATTGAAATGATTTTGTATTATTTTGTAATTTTGTACATATAGTGACTTCATCTGATTCACCAATTGTAGAAGTTGATGAGTCTCTTCTTTTAGTTGCCTTTAAAACACAGAAACAATCATCAAGAGGTATTGAACGTTGGACATTTACGCATCAACTTCTTTAAATTATCAATAAAGTATGTGATGAGATTTTTGAGGCGAATCAAAAGCATGTATTCTTCGTAACTCATATTAAGTTTATCTCTTTGTTTTTGTTTACATAATATGGTAAAAGCCACTGCATACGAGCAGAATAAATTACATGGCTGAGACAAATACAAGAAACTATTCTGTTGAGCTCGATGTTATGAAAATATGGATATGAAATTTTGAGAAGAATACATTAAGCATTTAAATAATTTGAATTTAAGCGAAAGTCTATATATCTTGATGAATACTAGATCAAGTGGAAATTTGAGAAACAATTCTGTGAACAGAACATTAGTCTACCACTTATCCTATCAATCAGTCAGTTACAACGTATGTACGTACATAAGTTCAGGTGGCCATAGCACAGAGACGCAATTTTCACTTCAAATCTCATATTAGTAGAGGTAGTAGAAGTAATAGCAGTAATTGGAGAGATTAGGGCTCGACGATATGATTCAAGAAGTAGAATCTAGTAAAATAAACCTAACAAGAAAACGATAAAGGTAATGGGGAAATCAGAAGGTTAAAATTTAAGAACGCACCTGCGCCAGTGCAAACGGTTTTGAGCCATGTCGTTCAAGGTCTTTAACCATCGGTAACTTTTGTCTCGTGGACCCCAACTAGGTAGCTTACATTTACCAACATGAATCAGTCCAATTACCTCTCCACTGATAGCTGATAGAGATGTGATCTAGTTGCGACCATCGTTGGATTGGTTCCGGGTATCACCATGTAAAAATATTTTGCCTTCTGCTTACAATTAAAATTTACTAGAAATAAGAGGTTATCTCAGCGTAGCCGCAGAAGATGGTTGCCATTATCTGTTCGATTAGCCACGACACCATAAGATCGACTCAGGTATCCTTCCTCTTCACTTAGTCTACCTACTTGAGCATAAATGTTACCTGCCACTATCATTATATCAGAGCACCTAACCATCTGGAGGAGCTACGAAAAATTTCTGTAAAACTCATCTTTCACCTCATCTGAACTGCAGTCAGTGGGAGCGTAGGCAGATACAACAAAGGGTAAACGACGAGTGTCCCTATCTTTACGAGCCCTTACTGTCCCGTTTAGTCCGACAGCGCACAGGCGACTATCTACGAGGATCCAGTCTAAGAGAGCTAGTTCTGTCCGACGACATAATACCATACCTACACCAGCGAGGCCACGGAAAGAAGCATCAGGACTTCCAGATATGCGAAGAGTGAATCGATCTGGTTATTCATTTTGACGTGGTGAGGTCAAATGAATGACGCTAATTGGATCTTGTATGGGCGTTTCGGCGACGAAACATATATCGATCGCCCGGGATTCCGGAGTTCCAACTTATGAAGTTGTTGCCCTATTTGACACAAAGTTTGGACATTAAAAGCTCCAACATGTAGTTTGGAGCGAGAGACCAGGAGTAATTTTGTTATCTCGAACCGTTTTCTTCATCGGCGCGAGGTGACAGACGACCGAAGAAGGGTTGGTCGTGGAGATAAGACAGTTATTAAGGGGTGTAAGAAGAATTTGGTTCTGACCAGTTTGGTCACGTGTGCTTTTATGGGTATGAGGGCGGCCGTCTCTCCATACCGTGAAAGGGCTTTGGTTGTAAGAAGGGGCATCGGCCTCGTAACTTTCAAAAGAATTCATTATGAGACATCATAACTCTTCTAAAGGAAGATTTTCTAGCTCCCAGAGCAGAGTGTAAATGGTTTGAATTATTTTTGTTAGCGTTTCTTCAGCCAGTTAATTTTCTACGGGATAGGGCCGCCAACTCCAACTCTCCTTCATTATCTGGGCTTGGGACCGGCAGTAGCCTCAGAGGCAGATACAGGCGGAGTTTCACCTACCTAGATTATGTTCTTATTTTTCAAGACTGTTAGATCATCATAAATCATTACAAAATTGGTTTGAGTAAAAGTAAAGTTCAGGTTATGAAAGGATTCAAATAAATGACCATCGTATTGATAAGCTAATGTTTTTCGAAACTGTGTTACTAACTGGTTGTCTATTCAACAACTATAGCCTTGATGTTTTTATCATTTTATAGCCTATGCATCTTTCTTCTCAACATTATTTTCTTCAATGACATTTTAACTTGCTTTAGGCAGATGAACCTATGTAACATATATTCTTAAGACGATTAATATGGTTCCCAGATTAAGTTATTCTATTAGTTCCGAAATCCAGAGTATTGCTCTGAAGATGTAAAATTAAAAACTATCAATAATACCGCTAAATAAAGGGAAATATGATGCGTATGTCGATTTTCTTTTAAGGTACCGCTTGAAGAAATCAAATTAAAAGTATTTAAAATCCATATGTGTGTAAATAAAATATCAATAAACAACTGCTTATATTTTTTTGAATTTAAAAACACAACAACTACTGCATTTTAATCATCCTAAGAAATCTTGTTATTACGCTAAATTCAGAATTTAATTCAAAGATATAGCGTATTTCTAATACTTAAACCAACAGTGATTTAGATTTTGACTACAGTAAGCTCTGAGCCACAGTTGGAAGAAATGATTAACTAGCCAAGTATCTGATACACGAATATATTATTCAGAATATGTAAAACAGTGCGTACCAAGGTACAATATAATGTAAATGGCTGATGGGATCATTAAATAGAATTTCGCCTTCATGATGTTTAGAAAATAAAAACCCAAAGTGAATAAACGACAAATTTTACTCATGCAACAGATAGCCGAGTTTCCTTTTAACATGTTAAGAAGTTAGTTCTAAAAGACACATGTTGCGTATATGATTTCCCTAATGAGGAAAATTAAATATCTTGTATACTTTTTACTGTTAATATTAACTTACGACTAAAATATTCTTAAGTTGGCTCAAATCACAACAACAAATTCGGAGGTTAGGTCTATTTCAACTTAACTGAATAGTAATAAGAATGAAATCTTATGTAAAATTTAAATAAGAAAGAACTTGATTTGTCCGAAGCTCTTTTTCATTTTCGACAGATCAGTTTATTTGCTTAGGTTTGTACTAAACATGCAGCTGTTAGGATCTGTTGTTGGGATCCAAATACGTAGGTCTAATTGATTTGTGTTATCAAACTATCCATCTTGGTAGTTAATGCACTGTCACTTTCTTTACGCCAAATGGACCTTGTTTAATTTTTGCTGGTGTTTCAATCGCATAGGTATCTAATTAAATATCAAACGATGTTTTGTTATGAACGTAATCTCTAGAAATACAAACGCTTTCAATCAGTTAACATGTTCTGATCATTTTGAAAAACTAACGAACATCTAGTAGATCATGCCATCTTTCTGTGAGCACCCGAAATCCGAATATAACAGTCCGTTTTAGCAGCGGCCGCTGTACAATGTGATTTTATCTAAGCTGACTGAGTGGCAGAAAGTACATTATGGTCGTGATTAGTAGCATTTGGGTTAGCCTTCAGACTGACAGCTTATCAAATATTCCCATTGTATGAGGTCAAATCCAAGACCTACCTGGTAATTAATCGGATCATCTGACATGATTTTGATTTGAAACAACTTAATAATATTTTAGTGGTAAGTTAACGTTAGGGAAGAAAGAATGTAACAAGATTAGCATTATTACCATCATCAGTTATCAGAAAAACACGCTAATCACTTCGAACCTGAACTTCCATATATGTCGTTGAGGATCCTTTTGATTCGGAATTTCAACTTCAACTGATTTACTTTGACAAAACTCGTTTGTAGTTTGGACAGATTTATTGTCTCTAGACAGATTGATGTTTGGATTCTTCGTCAACGTTTGACTAAGAAGTTGATAACTTAAATCATTTAATGTAGATCTCAACACACGGTTATTAACTTCAGCATCAGAAGCCCTAGAAACAACACGTATGAAGTTATTATTAGAATTACTAGCCTCTGTTGGCATTCCAAAAGCTGCTGATGAAGGTCGAGATTTTTATTCAACTCATGTAATAATTTACATTCAGCTTGATTGCGACGTTCCATTTCAAGATCAGCTCTTGATTTTAGAGTCATTATCAGTTCAGACTGCTCTTGCAGTCTGGAATTCGTATCAACAGTCATTTTGTAACAGTGGCTAACTACGGTTGAAAAAAACCGATGACATTGAATCGTAAAAACAACTGACCAATATCCAATATCTTTTTGACGAGCTAGTATAAACCAGTTGATTTCTTGTTCTTGATTCTTGTTCTTTCGGTACGGTTCTATGTGTTCGGTGGTGTCCGATGAATGAAGTCTAGCCACTCGACTGTCTAATTCTAGTTAGTTGTCATTTGGTTGTAAGTTTGTGTCTCGGGATTTTAATGAAAACGTTTGTTACAGGGCAGTAGGGTTGTTGGATACCAGCAGCTTTCACATTACCAGACCGGAGATCATTTAGTTGCAATGTGGAGAGTAATAAGGATAATAAGGATAAAATTCTAATGTTAATGGGAATAAAATTTCAGAACTAAGTAATACACAGATGATTTAGTTTATTAATTGGCAATGTAGATTGTGAGAGAGGACCGAAGTGTAAGCAAGGGAGAAGAAACAGAGATAATAGGCGAGAGAGATTAATTGAGTGATCTGAGGAGATGGTACTGATAACAAATAGCAGGTCTAAGATATGCCTCATCACAGCTTATCCAAGAGGAAGATGATTATCCGCATGTGAATATGTGATTATCACGTCTCTTCTTCACCACTTATTCTCCTGTAACTCAGTTAAAATTATCCCAAGTGCTGGAGTCTATCATCTTAAGGTTTACTTTTCAACCCTGTCACCCATTTGTTTGCTCGACTCTGCACTCTAACCAAGAGATTTATGTCTCTATTAAGAAAAGAGGGTTTGATGACGTTGTGATCCATCAAGTGTGGGTGCGCGTATGTCTTAAAAAATATTCAGAATATTTGTGGGGTGATAGAACCAAGTTATCTTCGCATAAAGTGGAGAGTAGCATTCGCCTTGGCTGCATCCCCTATATAGTTCGGACTCGTGTGGAGGCTTTCATTGGTTATTAAAACGAGACCGCGCTCTGAGGAGACATTAGGGCGCGGACTTCCATTGAGAGTGTAAATCGTGTGAGGCAGCATATACATGACCAATATCCAATACCTTATAAATGTTGCCGGTATATTTTACACAATCTAATACTCATTTCTCTGCGCTCGCTCCCAGTCATTTTGATACAGTTCCAGGGATTTGTCAATAATTAATTTGCCTGAAGCTTTCACTTCTCAAACAAGTTTAGTTCGTAATGTAGACATATTTTGCTTATATTTTCTGTCACTATTCATTTTTCATTGGCATGACAATTTGAATAACTACTGCTAATGACTGTAGAACTCTTGTTCAATTTTGCCTTAAGCCTTTCATTGTCGTTTTGGTTCAACCCATGCATATCATATTTGGGATTACAGAAAGCTTTTCACAACCATGGTTCACGAGGTCAATATTTTTCATATTAATCAATTTTTTGTTTATTATGTCAAACTCCCGAATCCCCATCTTTTAATACATAAATTAGCTACCCAATATTATTGAAGGACCACTCCGCTATGTCGAAACTGCTAAGTCTCCCAAAAACTAACGCAAATCAACAACGATTCGCATCATATTTTGATTATGAAACCGTCTGTTTCCTCGAAAGCATACTGAATAGCTCCATTAAGGGGAGATTCTAACAAAACGAACTCGGTGGAAGTATTTGGACGCTAAACTTCTCATGTGTGTTGCCGTTACGCGCGATCTCTAGAAGGATAGCAGATGAGTTTGCGATATCTGACAACTTAATGCTTAAAACACTCCAGATAGTTCCCCGTTGCCACGCTCATAACCCAGAAGCAACACTGAAGTATGTGACTGTTTTCAGAGCTTGTTAAAAAACGAAAATATATCATTATTAGGAGAATTTCAATGGGCGAAATACCTGGAAATACGAAGTGCATCACCTTGGACGAGGTTCCGAAGAACGCATTTTCCATGGAGAAAGAACGTAGTCACATCAACTATGCTAACATATCCCGGCACCAAAGCATCAATCAATATCGCAGTAGACACATCTGTATCAGAACTAGAAGTCCTATATAAGTTGAGAAGTAAAACTTAGTAACATTTAGCATACTTATCAAGACAATTACAGAGCAGGGATTCGGGAAATAGCAATTTCTGCAGGCGAACATTTAGCTGTGCATTCAAAACACTATGGATCGCCAGAAGCTTTTCATAGGCCGTGAACCTTTAAATTTTTATTCTAGCTCGTATATAGACAAGTATTCTCCTCGATAGTCACAACCAATTGAATTCATCCCATAATTTAGTCCATATATGTGGCATATTCCTCAAGCTAATAATATAGTATCAGACGTTATAATTTTTTCAAGCGATTTTCAAATAATCGACCGTCATGAACTCGCTTAGCTTTTAGAAGGAGACACTGATTTTCAGCACGACATTTTAGCAACAACCATGAAACAACGGAAACGGGAGAAGACAGGGTGTGTGATCGTCATGAGAGTGTCCTAATAAATTCTCCGAAAAATAAGGGCATATCAAATGCGCGAAGCTATAACTAAATAGTTTATAAAATGCTATTCAGTCACGTTTTGTGCTTATATATGACAAGAGAAATAAGCCTGATCCAATCAGTCTCTAGTCGCACGGCAGATTTGCGACACCGAGACTCGGCCTAGTTTCCGTTTGTTGAGCCTTTTCCTATAGCTCACTAATCACATTGAGCAGAACCTGGCTACTTGCGTGCAGTGAATAATTTCAGGACAAACGTATACTGTACACAAAGTCAAAAACGTCTTAACCCGACATAGCTGAAGGCTCTAAGTATTGACCACGGAGTTTTAAACCGTTGACGTATATTGCACGGTGATGCGGAGTAGTTTTCATGTATTGATCATTGATGAGTCAGAGATCATTGTGTTTTAGCGGCTCACGACTGGACTCTAGTGCGAACGGATGATCGAGTATGTCATGAAATAAATCTTCCTTTCCACTTCCATATATTATACTCAGGCTAAAACCATTCGTGTGACGTTGGTAATAAAAAGGCCAAATACGGTTTCGCGGATGAACTTATTTCATGCAATCACTTATCCAGACAAACATGAGAAGGAAAGTGTACAAGCAAAACGAAGAGGATTGGAGAACGTGGGTGAGCTAACTTTCATTGAGCTGAAGAATGACTAAGTATTTATAGTCAAGTTGTAATAAGTTAGGTATGTGATAAGCGAGTAAGCATCCACACACAATCAAATGTACAATAATCGACGCTGTAATCGAACTGTTACAAGTACAGAAAACGGTTGATACAATTACCGAATAACTTAAACGACAAATCTTTAGAAAATTCATTTCTGCGAACCTTGATTTCGGAAACAGTTAGAAGTCAGATACGCGCCTTGCCCAGTCCAATTTCAAAACAAAAGTTTTCTGGGTAAGAACGGTTCTATTATTAATCAAAAAAGGAATATAGACGATTACCTAAAAAATTTTATACCGTTCCAATCCGAAATTAACACAATGAGTTTCCGAATCTGGAGGAATGCGTCCTTCCAGTCAAGTATACGAAGTTACCACAGAGATATCAAATCTGATATGGCTGTAGCCATATTAAGTATCAATTTAAACAACACAATAACAGTTTAGGAGGAAACATATAAACTCCAATCAAAGTACAAAAAATAGGAATTATAACAAAATACAAATATTAACATCCCAAACTGGGACTAAACAGAGTACCAAAATATTGAACAGAAAGAGTCGGCAAGATCATAACACAAATATATACATGGAGGGATTTCCCCAAAAGCGAAGCCTTTAAAATGGATTCTACAAAATCATTGAAGTACAATGAATGACGAAAAGCTACAGTGTGTCTGAATAAAAAGTAGCTAATTGTTATCCACTGTGTCTGCACCTAAACCTTAGTGATATTTTTCTAGGCATTTGATGATACATGCAGACATCTCCTTTCTTCTGTATCCTGATGAGATATCCTTCTTTCCAGTGTGTTGGTACTTGTTCTCAATAAGATTTCGTCAAAGTTATCTTTGAAGAAATTCGAGAAATCGTTCGTTGTTGTACGCCGTGACTTGTATATAATCAGCTTCAAATTCGCGCTAGCAAAAATTAGGGAGCAAAGTTGTGTAAGCTTTTCATCCAAAAACTGAAGAGTGTATTATTAAGTTCTTCTAGGAGCTTTCCTCAAATCCTGATGTTCCGGTCAAATACGTTCATTAAAAATTAGAGTATATACACCACGTTTACTGTGTTTGTAACGGACTTGCAGTTAAGAATTTCACTTGAGCTGCATGACATTCTCTTGAAATAGAGTGCCCCGTTGAGGTATGAAACTGCAAATCAAGAAAACATCCTCAATTTAGGCATTTAGTGCCTCGCAACTGGGTTGTGTTAATAGTATATTCTAAAATAAGGGTTCCAATGAATAAGCGGAATCAGTAAGATTGAAAAATCATTTATGGTGCTATTTCGGGCAAATGTTCAACAACTGAATTCTAAAGCCTTGTTATTTTTTTTCACAACTTTTGGAGTAATCTGAAAATGAAACTGGTGTCTTAGCTCGAAGATTCTACTAAAAACAACTTTTAAATCTAAAACACATGCATTTTTTCTAAGTACCTTTTTTCAGTTTAAGACATCAACGAATTGAACTGAGTACCTAGAAACAATATTGATGCCCTATCAGATCGCACGTTGCAGATAAAATGAATCGAACCATATATGAACATGGCAATCACTATCACAGGCCTCCCAGGGTCCTTTAATTTCCATCTAAAAATTAAACTGTAATGGGAAGTTTTGAAACCAGTTTTCCCTCCGTGTTAGTAAATCCGAGCCTCTATTGAAGCTCTATTCACAACCATTTGATATTCCAAAAAATTGAAGTGTCGTTTATTGTACCTATTGAAACAACCTGCGAGATATAAACGTTTTGCGTTATGCTTTCCGATGTCCGGTTTAGGACATTCTACCTGCGTTAAATTAGTCGATCAGAGTGCAAAACCAATGTTCGAAAAGATATTTAATTGTTCACACTCATGTTCTTCATATTCAGTCAAGAGAATCTTATCTGCAGCGGAGAAACGTAGTCGATATTTCCGTCGACTATTTCTAGTTCGACACATGGATTTTGAGTATGCTTTATGGCAGATGTGGCAACTCTTCGTTGGACCTCAGCGTGTGTTCAGAAATTTCAATTACCGTAAATGTATGTATTTTACTTATAATATGTTAATTCTACGAAGGTTCGCGACAACAGTGGGCCAGAGATGATCCGGCTTTTTTAGTTTTGATGATGATTTTCCTAATCTGTAAGTTCCAAGAATACTTCGCCAACTTTTTCGGCCCGTTTTAAATTTTTGAGTTGCTTTGCGTTTCAGAACATGTCATTCCCAAGAGCAGCATATATATTGTCCGAATTAAGAAGCCTCTGTAATAAAGTTACGTAATACAGTACTCGAGGCAGATGATACGTGGAAAGCTATAAAACTGCATCCTCGTAACTCAGTGCCCTGTTGTACTAATGCAGCACCCACTGCATTTTAAAAATGCCTTACTGACATAGATAAAAGCTTCATGATGTAATTTAGTAAATCAACGTCCTCTGAGTAATAATTAATGTAACTGTCCGACTGCTTTAATTTCAGTGGCAAACAACTGTAAGTACATTACTCAGTGTCTGTAGGTTGGCCGTTTTAATGATTATTCGTCTGTTCCATTAAGTTGCTGTGACTGTTAGTGTGTGTATAAGAAGGTTAAAGTACATTATTTGTTGATGATGAAGTAATTCCCGATGTTTAATATGCTAATTAGAAACGATGCAGAAACCGTATATAACTTGAACATTCAGATCATGGGTTGAACTTCCATATTGTTATAGACTAGTCATTCGTACTTTTTGATTAAAATTAGATTGAAGTCTGTAGATTCTTGAAGACCATCTTAAAGACTATTCAAACTCTTAGTTACAATTTTACTATTTAACACAAATTACTTTAGATTTAATAATCATAACATATTGAACAATTTTTGCGATGTTTCTATATTTACTGCCCCAATTTTTCCTTACAACCCGTCCACTCGCAATCGTTATCTTCTATCACCGGGGAAGCTATTTATCCTGTTTCTAATAGCCAAATAACTTCCATGACTTTCCATTTTCATTATAAGACCTTTATGAGAGATATTGTTCAAGGTCTTACTTTTCAACTGAATATTTTTATTCACTGCAGCCCTACCTCTTCCGCTGAGCAGATTTGTCAGGCATGAAAGTCTTCTCCTTAAAACCGTGTTTTCTGACCTAAAGATCGTTGCTTTCCAAATATTTCGGAATGAACATTCAAATAATCTTCTCCATTAGATTGGCGGCTAAGCTGGTTAGACTAATAGATCGATGGTTACTGACTAGTTCTATACCCTGTACTTTACAAACAGGATTGATAACATGTTTGCAGTATCTTGACATCTTGAAATGCCTTTCCCAACCGTGGCTGTTACCTTGACGTGGTGGTCGGGCTTGCTTGTCGCGATGACCTGACCGAGTTATATTGGCTGGAACATATGTTCCTTTAGGTCTTACCATCTCAGGCAGGTCCATTGAAGAACTGTAACACTAAAAGCAGCAACTCAAGGTTTGAGGGCAAAGTTGTACTCCTGACTTTAAAGTGTCGTCATAGCAGTTAGGTGTGTCCCTCGGACAACCAGCGATGCTGCCTTCTCACAGGGAAGGAAGACATTAAAAAAGTCCATCCTAAAAATTTCGCATCTCACCTTACTCTACGGATCCAGAACGTTAGAATCTCGCACCATCGATGTATGCTGCGTCTCGGAAACGCGCCATTCATCTGACCTCACCACGTCAAAATGAAGAACCAGATCGATTCACCCTTCATTTATCTGGAAATCATGATGCTGCTTTCCGTGCTTTAGCTGGTGTAGGTATAGTATTATGACGTCAGACAACTAACTCTCTTAGACTGGATCCCCGTAGATAGTCGCCTGTGCGCTGTCGGACTAAACGGGACGGTACAGACTCGGAAGGATAGGGACAGTCGTCGTTGCCTCTTCGTTGTATCTGCCTACGCTTCCACTGACTGCAGTTCAGACGACATTAAAGATAAGTTTTATAGAAACCTCTCTAAACTTCTCCGAAATGTTAAGCGCTCTGATATAGTAATAATGGCTGGTGACTTTAACGCTCAAGCAGGTAGACTCAGCGAAAAGGAAAGACACCTGGGTGGATACTATGGTATCGCGGCTAACAGAACATAATGGCGACCGTCTGTTGCAGCTATGCTCAGATAACCGCCTATTTCTAGCAAATGTTAATTGTAAGCAGAAGGCGAAACCTTTTTTACATGGTGATCCCCGAAACGATGGACCCAAATAGATCATATCGCTATCAACCACCGATGGAAAGGCTTGATAGAAGACTGCTGCTCATTCTGGAGCACATGTTTAGATTCAGATCATGCTCTAGTGCTAGCGCGTATCTGTCTGCGTCTTACTAGACATAGGAAAGCCACTGCAAGAAAATCTTTCAGGGTTCCTCTTAATCATAGTATATTTCAAGAGCGACCAGAGAATCAATCCGGGAGCAGTGTAATTGATGCCCACCCTGAGGCAACAGAATAATTTCCAGAAAGCGGTGGAAACAGTAATGATATTTATAGGTAAGGTATGCCCCAAAGGGGATAAGCAGTGGGTCTCAGTAGCATCTACCGAACTAATAGATGCTCGGAAACTCATCTTATCTGGCTTTCAACATGATGAGGAGGAGAGTGAGCTCAAGCACAAGCTGAAGAAGCCGACGCAATGATTGCGAACAGTTGTGGTCAGGCGGCAGCTTATGGGAAACTGTCATCGGAATTGGTCACGTCTAGTGGTGTTCGTCAGGTTCGTTCACTCTCTGACTTCTTATTTAACTTTGTCATTGGCATGCTTTGCGAGACCATACTTTCCTCGTCTGATATTTCAGGAATTGAAATTTTACCGGGAGTTTCGCTTGTTGACATAATACTGCCTGTGAAGACACTGACGAAATATAGTCTTCTGAACACCTTTAGCAACAATGCAGGCATTTTTGGGGTGCAATTCTCCCCCTCGAAAGGCAATTGTTGCTGCACGGTTGGTTCGCATCAGCACCTGAACTAGTTTTCAGGTAGTGGAACAGCTGATTGTGTTAACCGCTTCATTAATCTCAGGAGTCTCGTCGGTACCTATGGTCGCCTGTCTGACGGAATCACAGCACGGTTACAGAAGGCTCGACCTGCTGCTGCTAACTTACGTCATTTATGGCATAGGCGAAAGATACCCGTCTACTAACCAAATAACTAGTCGACTATGTAGCAGTTCTCTCCGTGGGTGTGAAACATGGCCAGTAAGAGTAGATTTTCGTAAGCTATCAGTATTCGAACACCGGTGTCTTCGAAGAATTGCCCGTTTATCCTGGGACCATGGACTAAGCAATGCTGTTGTTAGGGTAAAAGTACTGATGAAGTATTGGGACTTTATCAGTTGAAGTGGTTGGGACATGTGCAAATATGCGCGACCGCTGACTACCCCAACAAGCGATGATTTTTGATGTAGTGGTGTGCTGGAAGAAAGCTAGGTGCGGGCAGACAGTAACATGGCACAATTTCAGGAAGTCACTGACCACTAGAATGAGTCGTGTTAGTAGCTGCAGAACGCCTGATTGGGGTCCACGAGATAATGGTAACCAACGGCTCGAGACGTTGAATGATATGGTTCAAAACCGTTTGCAATTGCGCAGGTGCAGCAACTCGTTGTGTTCTATGAAATTCTAACCTTTTGAATTTGTCATCACCTTTACATTTCTAAACTTATCTCATTGAATTATGATTCTCGAATAATATCTTCGAACCCTAATCTTCTCCATTACGGCTCATGCTTCTACTATCGCCACCACTATAGGATTTGAAGTGACAATTGTGTCTCTGTGCTAATGCGGTTTGGCAATCTGAACTGATGTACGTACGTTATACGTTGTATCTGACTGACTCTCCCACTAGTCCTATAATTTCTTTACCTCGGTTTGCAAATTTACATTTTAAAAATCATTTCTTATGAAACGCCTATTTTGCTGAAGTTCATTTGTTTTCTCAGTGGATCCTTGTAAGTTATTAGCGATAAATTTTTTTTTCAATAAGTCTAAACAATTGCTTCACTTCCTATTCACATTGTAGTTACTTCTCTGGGGTTCGCCATTTGCATGTCATTAAATATGATTCAATCAGTTCAATTCGTCTTATGGACCGTATTTTTCGACTTTATTGCAATTAGTCTCCTACAGGCAACATTCTTTTGGATTATTACAAATCGATTTTTCGTTAATTCGTCTAGAAATCGTTCACAGCTCAACGCATTGGGATCTGGCGTTGAAACTAAACCGGAAGTTGAATGGGGATATGCATTCGATGTTCATTTAAATGGATTTTTCCCAGCTCTGTGCATTTTGCACTTAATACAATTACCTTTCCTGTATAGTAGGTTTTCTTATTTCAAAATTAATTTAATTTTTCCACAATACTTATACTTAGTGAATTTTTTCAGATTAAAAATTACACCATATCAACCATCGATGATTTAATTGATAATTGCCATGTTTTTGTTGAGTCATTTTCAATCGCTTAGAACACTCCTTTGATACTTTATGCTTATTGTCCGCACTAATCACTTGATCCCACCAATTTCGGTGAGTGCTTAGAAGGTATTGGAAACCAAATCGTAGTAACCTTTACATATCCTCCATCAACAAAAGACATATTGCACAGCTGTGAAGTACTACTATTTGATGCACTCACTCTTCCGACTTAATAATTTGTAAATGAGTCAAACTACATAACATGTTTCACATTCGCTTGCATAGAAATGTCACGGTTGTGTTTTTATATCAGAATTCATAATAATAATAATGATCGAATTACTATCCTGTCGGTAAGTATACATGCATATGTATATCATAGAATATTAAAATAAAAGACAAGTAATTTCATTTTACTACTATTTCAATAACTTCAACAAATTAGAATATGATAAACCATTATCTCTGACTGTTGAATCATTTATTTTTTCTTAAATTTTTAGTTATTCTCCAAAATTGGTTTATTGGAAGGTTACTGGGTAATACTTTTTGGCTAATGAGTTTCACCTATTACACTTACATCACATTCTTGGGTTACCGTAGTAAGTTCACAATGTTCATTTACTTATAATTAGTCAGTCATTTATTGATGTTTTTCACTTAAACTATGTGTAAAGGTATTCTATAAAAAATAGGATTAGTGTGATATTTCATTTTACTGTAATTGTTAAGCGTAAAGAAGAGTTAGTTATCTGTGATCGGTTAATTAGAATGAATGGAATTTTTTATTTATGGTAAGATGCGCTAAGAGTTTGTGAGTAAAAAAATGCTTCGATTTGTCAGTATGTTTACTCAAATATTAATCACTACACATGTTGGGGACGTTAGATACTGAAATCTTGATATTTTCGCGCATGAGACTCTTAGTCGACCTTCAGCTTACATTTTCCACTCGAGAAATCCTTGATTGTCATTGGTTGGTAGATTATTTTAGTATGATATTTTGTATCTCTCCCAAAGGCGTTGCTATCATTCTATAAGTAAGCTTATTTTGCGTGCTTAGCTACCTCAAATCTTTTTGGGTACCTGTAGAATGCATTCTCTACGCCTTATCAAGACTTCTTGCTTTAGTTAGCGGGACCTAGAACAGTCGGATTAGAATAGCTTATCGTGTCATTGCATCATTTATCTGCGCCCCGTTTAACCAGTAAGGTAAACTTATCATATCAACTCAACACTATAGCTTGCAGCAGGATGGAAAACGTTAGAACAGAGCAATCATTCAGATAAGTAGGAAAAATTAAAAAAAAAGGAGTTGCAAATGAAGTGTTTAAAATTTAACTGATCTGATATATTAAGTAGTTAATTTTGAAATGAATACTAAACAGACAGTAAATAATGAGTCCGCGTGACGAAAGTCACCAATGGTTAGAGACTTTAAACAACATGGCTCAAAATCGTTTGCAATGGCGCAAGTGCATCCATTCATTGTGCTCTCTCATATCCTAATCTTCTGGATTTGTCAGCACCTCTACCTTTGTCTTTCTAACCTTATCTCACTGAATTATACTTCTTGACTAATATCTTCAAACCCTAGTCTTCTTCATTACCATTAATACTTCTACTATCTCTATCATCACTATGTGATTTGATTTGACATTTACGTCACTGTGCTTATGTGGTATATGGCAACATGAACTTATGCACATACGTACAAAGTTCTACGTTACAACTGACTTACTGACTGACTGAAATAATTCGTTGGTTGTTCAGTATCCTATATACGATAAACAATGAAAATAATTTAAACCATACTTTCATCTAGATATTGATTTAAAATTGTTTAAAATTGATGTAAGAACAATGTACCTTGTACAATTCGTCATTTATTGGAATTATAAATATTCTAATGCTTAATAACACTAATATTATTCAATCTCGTCATTCTCTCAGTTGTTAGATGTTACAGTTACACCTTCCTAAAAAATAAACCTCTTCATTTTGTTATATTTTTTTTAAGCTTTACCATTTCTCAAACGTACAACAATTTTATTATGGCCAATAACAGGTGCTTTAGTCATTTATGCGGTATCACTTATCATGAAATGGAATTTCACACTATTTTTATGCCATTTTTATCAATTTCGTTTATCATAAATAAATGATAATTGCAAACTGTAATTGTAAACTGTGATAAAAAAAAGATTGTAAAGGAATATTTTGTTTTGTTTTGTTTGTTTAATTTTCATTGTAAATATTTTGTCTTCCTTAAAAAAAAAGTGACGAGCTCTTAGTTTCAGTTATTTTTAATTCTTTGCTTTATGATTATATATATATCTACTACATATATAGATAATAGTTGTTTGTTAAGTTAAATAATGATGATTATTCACATATATCTAACTCGATACTTCTCGTGTAATATTGATTAAAATTTTTTAAAATGGCCAAGATATTGAATTACAGAAAAAAAGAAATACTTATTAATGACCATACAGTAGTTTTTCTTTGTTTGTTGTCCCTGTAATTTCTCATGGAAAATGAAGTTAGATAGTGTGATTTATAAGCAAGTCTCAGTAAAGTTTACTAAAAAAGAAACGCTCTGTATCTGAAAATCCAAAGGTTAAAGAGAGTGAACTTAAAGACTTGACACAAAGTATTCACTAGATGTTACATAACAGCCGATCATTATTACTATTAGGAACACAGGTCTAGTAAAACTAAGAAACTCAGAGTTTCTTTCCAAGTTGTAAAGTAGTTAATAGATCTCAAAGAAAAACACCTGCATTGTTAGATCAATGTAAAATAAGTTGGTAATAGGAACAAGAAAAACCACAGTTGTGAGAACAAACAAGCGAAAGGTGTTTCCTAACGACAGCATTGCTTATACGGTTGTCCCATGATACACGAGCAATGCTTCGAAGACACCTATGATCGAAAACCAGTAACCTACGAATATCTTCTACTCTCACTGGCCATGTTTCACAGCCATATAGGAGAACGGAGCGAACTGCTGTACAGTACACTCGTCCATTGATTAGAGAACGGATGTCACGCCTACGCCGTAAGTGACGCAGGTTGGCAAAAGCCAATCGAGCCTTCTGTATCCGAGCTGAGATTTCGTCAGTCATCAGGCCATCGGCATTGATGAGACTCCCAAGATAAGTGAAGCGGTCTACACGTTCGACCACTTCACTCCCTATCACTAGTTCAGGTGCCGATGCAACCCAGTCTTGAAGCAACATTTTGCATTTCGAGGGGGAAAACCGCGTCCCGAACATGTTCGCATTGTTGCTTAGGGTGGTCAGAGGAGTCTGCATTTTGTCAGCGTCTTCAACAAGTAGGACAATGTCATCGGCGTATTCTAAGTCGATAAGGGTAAAAGATCTACTCCTGCAAATTCAGACGAGGATAAGGTTATTCCTAAGAGCGTGTCTATGATAAAATTAAACAAGAATGGAGAAAGTGGACATCCCTGACAGACACCATTTGAAGTAAAGAATTCCGGTGACAGTTCGCCATGGGCTCTCACTCGACCAATGGTGTTCGAGTAGAGTGCTTGTATAAGGTTAACGTTCTACTCTGGTACACCTCTCGATGTCAGACACTGCCACAGAACCTCACGATCCACTGAGTCAAATGCCGCTTTTAGGTCCAGGAACACAACTATTGTAGGACGCCTAAATGTGCGTCTGTGTTCTAGGATCTGTTGTAGTCCTTAAATATCTCAGTCAGTCAGTCTATCAGGACCTGCACCTCGCTTCAGATTTCCTAACGCCTTTTCAACTTCATAAAGCCTAGGGGGACTTACGTCGATTTGCCATTCAGGATGACTGGAGATTGTGGGTAACGGAAGAGTGGCTGGAGGCCAGTTGAATTGATCCCTAAAGTGTTCTGCCCATCGATCCAGTCCCATAGATACTACTGAATTCCACGGCTTCTTCCTGGCCTTATGGTTTACCTTACTAGAAGTTATCACTGCTGTTTCCACAGCTTTTTGGATATCATTCCGAGCGGCCTCAGGGTGGGCAGCACTTACTTCATGGCTACGTAACTGCTTTTCTAGTTGTCCCTGAAATATATTCTTAGCTTTATTATCATTAAGTAGAGGTTTCCTTGCGTCCAGTAAGAAGCTCGCACTAGAGCATGGTCTGAGTATAAGCAAGTGCTCCAAAGTGAGCAGCAGTATTCAACAGAGCCTCTCCACCGATGTGATCTGGTTGGGTCCATCGTTGGATGGACATTGGGGATCGCCATTTCAAAAGGTGTTTCACCTTATGCTTAAAGTTAGTGTTTGCTAGGCATAGGCGGTTATCTGAGCATAGCTGCAACAGACAGTCGCCATTATCTGTTCTATTAGCCGCGACACCATAGCATCCACCCAGGTGTCTTTCCTTTTCGCTGAGTCTACCTGCTTGAGCGTTAAAGTCACCAGCCATTATTACTATATCAGAGCGCTTAACATTTCGGAGAAGTCTAGAGAGGTTTCTATGAAACTCATCTTTAATATCGTCTGAACAGCAGTCAGTGGGAACGTAAGCAGATACAACGAAGAGGCAACGGCGAGTGTCCCTTTCCTTCCGAGTCTGTACCGTCCTTTTTAGTAGGACAGCGTATAAGCGACTGTCTATCGCGATGCAGTCTAAAAGAGCTTGTTCTGCCCCAGGACTTAATACTATACCTACGCCGGCGAGGCGAAGTGGCATCAGGGCTTCTAGAAACACGAAGCGTAAACTTTGTGTCTCTATCTGCACTAGGTGAGATCAAATTGATGATTATACTCGGGTCTTGTATGCCCGTTTCGGAGACGTAACATACATCGATCGCCCGGGATACCAGTGTTCTAGCTAATGAAGCCTGTCGCCCTATATGGCATAGGGTCCGAACATTAAAAGTTGATACATGTAATTCAGTACGGGGTTTCAAGAGACCAGGAATAATGTTTCGAAAGCTCGTACCGTTTGCTTTAGTGGCGTGAGGTGATAAACGATCGAAAGAAGGGTTGGTCGAGGAGATTAGAGAGTTATTAAGAGGTGTAGAAAGGATATAATTGTGACCAGTTCGGTCTCGTGTGTTTTTATGGGTAGGAGGGCGGATGTTACTTCCCGGCTGTCCACACCGTGGAAGATTCAAATCAGATACACAGACATCATACATCCTAAATAGCATTATATGGTTAGAATTATAACAAAACTTTTACGCTTGTAAATTAATGCTACATGTTATCGTTTTCATTGATATGTAGACCGAAATGACATACAATTGTTAGCTGTTCTCTTGATATCCATGATAAGGTATTAGTGTCAGTTTCACCTGCGTGCAACAAATGATTACCACGGAACCAAGTACTCAGGTTGTATTAGTATCGGAAAATCCAGTTTGCCAGAGGTTCAGCAGTTACAATTCCTTCGACAACACCCTCATATTGCTAACACTTAAGAACGGTCAATTTCCTGACTACGTTTATGCTTCAGTTCATGAAAAAGAATATCTACTGAAGATATATTTGCCATTTCTGTTAGATATCCATATTTTCTACTTTCCTAATTGTTTATATCACCTGATTGAGGTTATTATTGATTTACAACAAATCAATACCACTTAAGCAGATAATATGAACCTTGAACGAAAACTCTCAAATCCTCTATTCGTACTGAAACCTTAAAATTGTAAATAAGTTTTCGTAACCTTTTTAATGATTACATCTTCAATAAATGAACACACCGAGAAAACTTTTCTCACCGAATCGTTTTCAATTTGTTTAATGGTTTATTTTAACGTAATACAGCTCAGTTCAAAATCAGATAATATTAGTATAAAGGTATATATATATATATATATATATATATATATATATATATATATATATATATATATATATATATATCTTTTGAACGATATTTATTATTCTTCCATTGAATCCAAACTACCTACCAACTTAACTGTTTTTAGGCTAGTATTTATGTTTAATCATGAGTTCAACTGCTGTCTGTCTACTTATGAGGCATAAAATTAACCGACTGCTATATAATTCAATGGTCTACTACATATCCGTATGTTTGATATCTTCTAAGATACAATGTGTGTAAGGGCTAGTGATATTGCATAGCTGCTCAAGCGAGATAGGTCCGAAGAAATTAAAAAATTACAACTTAGTAATTGAAATATCAAGTCAACTAATATTTTCCTTATCTCAGTATGGAAATATAGTCGTCACTAGAAATTCCTTCAATGTTCCGTCTCATATGTACATGTGTCAGGGGCGGCCAAACCAAAACATGGCAGAAATCCATGAAGTCATTGACAAGTGAACTGAACCATGTCGGTAATTGTCGACTACCTGGTTGGGGTCCGCGAGATGATGATAATCGATAGTTAGATACCCTGAATGACATGGCTGAAAACCGTTTGCAATGGCGCCGGTGCATTTATTCTTTGTGTTCTCTCAAATCCTAATCTTCTGGATTCTTCAACACCTCTAGTTTCGACTCTCTAAACTTTTCTCACTGAATCATACTTCTTGAATAGTATCTTCTAATCCTAACCTCTCCGATTACTTCTAATTCCCTTACTACCTCTTCTACTATTGGATTTGAATTGACAATTATATCTCTATGCTGATGTGGTATGGCAACATGAACTGATGTACTTACGTACGAAGTTCTACGTTGCATCTGACTGACCTATTTTCCGCTAATTTCCGATCTAAAACTTTCTTTTACTAATTGTACTATTTATGTGATCGATTCAGTGGGTTTATTTTTCACATTCTTAATATTTAAAGATCCACATTATACATACTGAATTACAGTTGAATTCGTTTAGGTCAAGAAAATGAGTAAATATTTAACAATAGAACAAATTTTATATACAATCAACAATTGTTTTACTAAAATCAATGTAGTGCTCGATTTGACTTCAGATCCGGTAATTTTACAGGTGTCACCAGTTCAGCTATCATGTTCATTTCAGATTTATTTTGAGCATTTTCAACTTTTGAGCATTTACATCCCAAATATTGGAAAAATTGAGTCAATCTGAAAAAAATAATAATTCGACATAAAATATAAACTAACAAACTACTAAATTATATAACTAAGATAATCGTAATAACAAGAATGACATGTTGAAAATGATTCAACAATTTCCAAAAAAAACTATAACATTCTGAAACTTCTACATAGCACTATTAGTAAACGGTGAGGAAGATAACTGTTAGGATATTTACCAAATATCCTAAGAGTACTATTTTTGGAAGTATAATCCTATTGGTCGAAATTATGGTCGTTTTAACTGTCAAAGTCAAATACTTCAATGTTGTCTCTGATTGGTCTTCCGGACTGTCAATGTCATTTCAAATGTTCTTTCCTATTGGCCGTCCTAAACTGTCAATCTCACAGACTTTGATGCTCTTTCCTATTCGACCTTAATGTATAAATACGCACTATCTGTAAGCCTTCATGATTTCGATTCCAATACCTCTCTTTTGTACTCGACCCAATAAACAACTCCATCCCACGGTGTTGCGTTCTGATATATATGGGAGATTTGGAAACAGCATTTTAGGTCGTATTGGGATATTTGAATTGGACGCCACTAGGACTGAATAGCTATACGTAACAGCGTTACAACAATAACTATTCACAATTATAGTCTGTATCTAGAAAATAAATTATGAGTTGTGAATTACTTTGTTGGAAAATGAAAAATCTAACTTTTGATTTGCCTATAGAATGCTTCAGTCAGTCAGTTAGTTGCAACGTAGAACTTCGTACGTATGTGTACATAAGTTCAGGTTGCCATACCACATTAACACAGAGACGCAAATGTCAAATCAAATCCCATAGTGATGATAGAGATAGTAGAAGTATTAATGGTAATGAAGAAGACTAGACTTTGAAGATATTATTCAAGAAGTATAATTCAGTGAGATAAGGTTAGAAAGACAAAGGTAGAGGTGTTGACAAATCCAGAAGATTAGGATTTGAGAGAGCTCAAACAATGGATGCACTTGCGCCATTGCAAACGATTTTGAACCATGTCGTTCAAGGTCTCTAACCATTGGTGACTTTCGTCTAGCGGACCCCAGCCACGTAGTCTACATCTACCAACATGACTCAGTCCACTTGTCAGTGACTTCATGGATTTCTGCCATGTTTTGGTCTGGCCACCCCTAGCTTTCTTCCAACCTACTACTACACCACAAAAGAGCTCGACGAGACAGTCGGTGGTTAGGCATACGTAACACATGTCCCGACCACCTCAACTGATGAAGTTTCACTACTTCATCTATTGATCTGCCATCCTTACCTAGTACTCGTTTCGTAACGACAGCATTCTATAGAATGCTTACCTACAGTAAAAGTATAAAGTGTGTTATAACTCATGAATTAGTGTGTAGAATTGTTATTAACACTATTAATATATACTAGTAACTGTTCTAAGTAATATACCATTCAAGAAATCAAGACACTAAAACTCGAATGAAATTTAACATTCATTATTAATGCAAAAACTGGTCAATGAAAGCTGTTTATGACTAAAAATAGACTGAAGTGAAAACTATTATTCATAATTAAGTGAAGAATGTCTAATGTGTATAGTGCCTGATACAAAAAAATGAAGTAAAAACACAGTTCACAACGCAGTAAGTCTGTGGTGCTGTGGTGCGAGCTACTTATAAGTTGTATATGACGTGAGCGTCAACGTAATGTCTGGCAGCAGAAGATGGGGAAAGATCAAGAAAGGAAGAGTTAGAAAACAATCGAATTTGTATGAAACGCATGAATAGTGACAATGGATTGATGTTTGGCAACAGGAACTGTCCAGTTCGATAGGATGAACTGATATTTTGCAAATGAACAATTTACGATATGGTTTTCCAATTTTACTGAGTAACTCTGTAATTTCGCTAAATACAATTCGGTTGCCTCACCTGTGTTCTCATTCGAATGTGTACTTTGAGATGGTGAAGAAAACTGGTAGCTCAAATGGATGATTGTGGTGAAGTTTCGTTCTCTAAGCTGGATGTTTCAGTTATGGAGCTTTCATTGTTCTCCTGAACAACAAAATCAGCACAAACTTCAGACAGACTTCTATCTATGCAGTTCAAAAAATGAAACTCCACTACAATGTTTACTTTACGAATAAATTAATTGAATTTACTTTAGACTTCCTAAAATCTAAATTGACTGACACGATAATGCACTAGTGACGTTAATAGGGACATGTGTTACGTATGGCTAACCACCGATTGCCTCGACAAGCTACGTTTTGTGGTGTAGGAGTAGGTTGGAAGAAAGCTAGGGGCGGCCAAACCAAAACATGGCAGAAATCAATGAAGTCACTAAGAAGTGGACTGAGTCATGTCAGTAGATGTAGACTACCTGGTTGGGGTCCGCGAGATGATAGTCACCGATAGTTAGAGACCTTGAACGGCATGGCTCAAAATCGTTTGCAATGGTGCAAGTGCATTCATTCGTTGTTCTCTCTCAAATCCTAATCTTCTGGATTTGTCAGCACCTCTACCTTTGTCTTTCTAACCTTATCTCACTGAATTATACTTCTTGAATAATATCTTCAAAGTCTAGTCTTCTTCATTACCATTAATACTTCTACTATCTCTATCATCACTATGGGATTTGATTTGACATTTGCGTCTCTGTGTTAATGTGGTATGCAACCTGAACTTATGTACATACGTACGAAGTTCTACGTTGCAACGAACTGACTGACTGAGTGACGTTAATAACACGGAATTCAAGTTATCGTCTTACAACACAACAAAAAACGTGAACATCACTTTCCATTACGTTTATGGACAAACCATCTGTCCTCACAACTGATAAACTGTACACACAAAACCAACCACCTAAGGTGGAAAAGTTGTCTTTAGCTGTAAAAGGGAATTATTGAGATCTTAAGTAAACAATTAACTCAAAGTTAACTGAGTATTATAGAATAATGATACAGTTATGAGTTGAGTAAACCACCTGCACACAGCGTTTGATTCGATAGCACCAAATGTCTCTATTCCTTTCACACTGGTTAATTAAATGCAATAACACTTGATGGAAACTTCACGTCACTGGACTCTGAGAAAAATTGATGAAATGAGCTATCATAAAAAAAACGGTAGACTTTTTTTCGTCAACTGGTTTGCATGATACAACAAATACAACGCAAATATATGTGTATCAGTTTACTTACTTACACATATGATGGTGAAATATAGTACTCACCTTTCACGTCCAATTTTAAAGTCAACAGTTAAACTATCAATTGTTGTCTTGAATTTTTCACAATGAAGTATCAAGACTAACATATGAGTAATCAATTTATCACGAAGCATTGGGGACATAGCACTGAAAGATTACAAAAAAAAGAAAAAACAGAATTTATAGACAACAAACACTGATAGACGACGAAACAGCTAAAACAACCAAAGTGAATCAATCGGAAATCCATTTATTTTTGTAAAAAAAAGCCTTGGTTTGGAATAATCCAGGATTACTGTTACGATATTTGAACTGATTGATTAAATAGTTGTGAACAACTGAATTTACAATTAATCATCACTGGGTCTCCAAAAGAGATCAGCACATATAACGGCTTATATAATGGGTGGTAGCAATGTCAATGATGAATTAGCTGCAGCTTTGTCTGTTTTTTGATACTTAAATCTAATGAAGGCGTCGGTTTGTCAAAATATGGGACTAGGGAACGTCCTTAAGCGTTTTAATAGGGATCCAATAGATTAACCTGGCTTTAAAAAGAAAATAAGAAATATTTCCATCGGCCGAAATGAGTCTGACACATTTAATGGAGCAGTGTAAAGATGCTGTCACTATTGCAATTTAGTATTAAACATTTTGCTGTGTTATGCGGGAGGAGGGACAAAAATAGTCAAATAGTTGTTTTACAAATCGTTAATGACCACTTTTAGGATCTTTAAAGTTGGGGATAGTAATAGTTTCCATTTATGATTTGAAGGATCTTAATCGATTTCCCGCTGGCGTAAAGAAACAAATAAATGGCTTTAAATAAGGAGCATGATCTAAACTTAATGTTCTTGACTGAGGTAGAGGGCAAAGATCTACTCATACCTACACAAATGAGATGGAATCTAGATCAGTTTTTCAACGGGAGGTCAAGATTCTAGCCTCCAGCTTCAGATTCTTTAAAGGTCCTTGAAAATAGTGACAGAAATTAGTCCATGAATACGCTGCCTCCGAGTTTGATAAACTAACCATTGATAGTAGGCCATTTACATTGAAGTCCGTGTTAAAAGGGAATGAATGCATTTTATGTGACACAGTTTAGATAAATGTAATAAGTTTGTCGGTAAAACCTTGAAACAAAGATTAAATGTGTTCTTCGGTTGTTTGAGCAGTAGCCGTACAAGCAAAAATTGAAAACTATAAGACAATATGGATGGAGAGTATAGAATCATCCCGTTTTGTGTATCGACTGAGGGTATACTTATGAAAGACATGTCAATTACTTAAAAAGTAATACAAGAACTGGAAGGATATGAGTAGGTGTTATTTTCAGTAAAAGTTTGAGGTCCCAGAGTGTATAAAGATGCTTATGGATTAAGGACGGTGGTGACGACTCCACATTGACTAATGGCAATCGAACGGAAAGCGTCATAAAGGGTGTGTTTGACACCTATAGACAACATGATCGCGAAGACAAAGACAGTCTTTGTTAGTAAAGGTTAAGACGCACGACAGGCGACGTTGTCGCCGTCAATTAACTAATATACATACACCTAAACTGATACTTATCAGTTATAACATTCCTATAACACACCATGTGCGCGAAAATAATATGGACGAACTGCATTGAACTAAGACAATACTATTTTATATGGTATAAAAGAGTTTAATGGGGTTATTTAGTGTGGTTAGTTAGTAGGAACGTAGAACCTGATATGTATGTACATCGGTTCACATCACCATAACCCATTAGCACAGGGACGCGAATTCATTAAAGCGAATCCCAGAGTAGCAGAGGTAGCAATAGTATCAGTTGTAATAGAAGATTAAGAATCAAAGATACGATTTAGAAGCTTAGAATCTGAATTAAAGCAAAGGATACATGCACCTGCGCAAGCACAAACGATTTTAAGCTATGTCATTGTTGTAACGCTTGCTTGAATAATTCCCGGCTAATTCCTATTGCTTAGTATTCTCTGACCAAAATACACTGGACAAGTTCCAAAGAATCAAAAAACACGGTGGGACAGGAAAAAGATTATATTCCAAATAGCAAGGTAAATGGAAATAAGAAGACGAAGGCGAAGGCAAAATAGATACAACGTTAGTTTCTTTATAGCATTTACATGAGAAGCGTCTGGATAGTAATTTACGTGATCGATTGGATTAGATTTAGCCAATCAGAGTGCAGCTAGCAACACGAGAACTTTCTACCCTGTTCTCCAAGAATCGATCAGGTGCTGATTGGGTAGGAAATTAGCCAATCAGCGCGCAGCAACGTAGACATGCTTTAATTCCATCTATGTCCCACTAACAGTCATTCAACATCTTCAACCACTGGTTACGATAATCACGCGCACCCTAAACCAGAAAGTCTACACTTGTTAACATAGTTCAACTCAACTATCAATGATTTCATAGAATGGTGCTATTTTGACTTAGCTATTTGGTTTCGTGATTTAAAGAAAGCCATAATGACCAAACAAAGCAGTTACGAATAGAAAGCATGTGTAGTCTCCTGATGATGATCAAGTAGAAAACTTATTATTTTTGATCGATAATGAAGCAACTAAAGTAGTAGAGAGTTCATATAAACTCAAAAGTGTTTCTCTGATGATTTTTTTATAAAACCGATGAAACACTTTTATTGGACCAAAGATTTGAGTTAATTATGATTCGATCGATTGTTGCTTCGGTCGTGCTAATACAGGATCAGATGTCAAAGAATACTGTGATACTGCGCGGAAGTATGTGGTAAAGTTCGCGGGTTTTCTCAGGTCTACTATAAGAGTTTTACTAAATTGATTTTATGTATGGTTTAGTATCATAGTAGTGGTAGCAAGTGACCAAAAAGACTTGTACACTATTTTTTCTTTTGGGAGTTTGTTTGAATCTCAAATTTAAACCAGGGTTTCGCAACTATACTTACATGAGACTCAAATCCCTGTTGCCATTAGTGAAAGTATTTGAGCCAGATGAGATAAAAGCAAATACTAAATAAACTCTCGGTTGTAAATTCAAATAATACATAGATATGTTTTGCACTATACTTGTCTGTTGTCATATATCAAAGCTTGCAGTTCGCAAGGATGCTGTTGCACATCACATATGCACAATAACAATTAGTAGTTGATTAAGGCTTATTTAACCTTTTACGTCATTTACATTATCAACCACTCAAGTCTCTATTATCGAGGTCTACTACTAACCATTTTATTTGACTCTGTTTTAAATCGATTGAGGTCAAGTCAAGATGTTGCATTTTCTCACGGTGGCCTATGACAACCCAGTGAAAGACTAAGAATTTATAATGAACGAAAACAATAGGAGTAAACATTACATTCTAATGACTAATATGGGATTATTTTTAGCATTTACATAAACGAACACCAGAAGTTATAAACGAAATTATTTTAAGTAGACTTAAACAACTGTGAATTCCGAAACCTACTCAAATACAGTTTTATTAATACTAGACTTTCACTTCATAAAAAACTATGCAGTTTGAAATGAATATGAATCATTAGAAAAAAACGAGGAAAATTTACTTACCGTACTTTTAGACGTCCCATACCTTGTCGACTAACTGATGCGGTAAACTGTGTAAGAAGATATTTGCTAACAGTATTAGGTGTATCTGGTAGTGGAACTTTGCGCATCAGGTCTCGGTTAGGTAAATGAAATAAAGCAAACATATGACTGAGAAACACCAAACTGGTAGCATGTTTTACCTGACCGTCAGACTTCGTTGTACACAAGTTATACAGCTTATCCCTTATCCACTGTGGATAGATACTTTTATTTATCAGAGTATCAGTTGAACTGGCATCAAGCGATAAAATATGTTGTACCTCCGAATTTAAAGCTTCCACAATTCTAAGAGGAACTAATTTATCATATGGATAAACATCCTCAGGAGAAGAAGCTGTTAGAACTATTGGCGGGAGAAGGCGGAAACGTTCATCATTTTGATTGTTAGCAGAATCCACTTCATTGTCAGCTAAATAAATTTACAAAAACAGAATTTTATGAAAATTTTGAGAGTAAAACATCAAGGCAAACGAAAATTGAATTTACGGAAGCCCATAGATGTGTATCTGAGGTCATTCTTAGAAAACATTCCCGTTATTAGATCGAGAGTGAACTAAACGTAGTGTTGGACTGGGACTAATTAGAGTTGACATCTTTAAAATGTTATAAAACTTCAGATATACAGACAAGATAATTTATAAGAAGCAAAATGTTTACCAGCCCGACAAATAATAAAGGCAAATTTAAATGTTTGATATTGACAAAAAACGTCTTAAGATAAGAGCGTACTCTGAGTTATTAAGGTATAAAGTGTTTTAGTTTTTCAGGTAACAGTCCAATTAATAAGAAAACCGAGTCAACCAAAAAATCTATAAAAAGTGTTACATTACCACATCAGATGACTCTTTGCTCAGTCCAGAGATCATTCGAATAATGCTGAAGAGAGAATTAAACGTACGATATACTTACTGGAACCTGAATGGTTTTATTCAAGAAACCATAGCTCCAGGCTGAAGATTAGGAACTGCGCATTTAAGTACGTATGCTGATGATAAGTTTCGAAAATTCAATCTTTGATTATGATGACTATTTTACTCCAACTCAATGTTCGTGTTAAAACGTTTCAATAGGTAACACCAACCATTTTCGCTGTGCGAACAGTGATGATCAGGTTCTCGCTTTCGCCACTCCTAAAGCAAATATCTATTATTTATCCACATCATCGATCAATGTCAGACTACCATTAGAAACCTGAAGCACTGGACGGCCGTTTCGTCCTAGTATGGGACTGATCAGCAATGCGCATCTACGACTTCCGCCCACAGGAACCGAACCCAAGCGACCACTGGGCAGGCACCCAACGGTGTTGATGTCCAATTCTAATAACGTAAGGTATTGCACAACCTCACCTTTGTCTTCGGTAGTTACTGCCTACGCTTGACAAGGTTGAACTCCAATGGTCTCGAAAAATATACATGTTTGATATTGTGACCTACGTTTATTGAGAAATTCGCATACGGTGAAATGGCTGAGAAAATTGAATTAAAATACTTTGGTACACCTGATTAACCCCATAATAACGACCAGTCAGTTAGTTGCAACGTAGAACTTTGTACGTATGTACATAAGTTCAGGTTGCCATACCACATTAGCACAGAGACGCAAATGTCAAATCAAATCTCATAGTGATAGAGATAGCAGAAGTATTAATGGTAATGAAGAAGACTAGGGTTCGAAGATATTATTCAAGAAGCATAATTAAGTGAGATAAGGTTAGAAAGACAAGGGTAGAGGTGCTGACGATTCCAGAAGAATAGGATTTGAGAGAGCTCAAACAATGGATGCACTTGCGCCATTGCAAACGATGTTAAGCCATGTCGTTTAAGGTCTCAATAGGTACAGATTCTAAACAATTGATGTAAACTTATTTTCAAATTTAATTTGAATTATATATCCATTATTAATTAACATCAAATGAATAGTTTCGCAAATATATGAAGTGGAAATAATAATAAGATTTAATTTCACACAATGTAATTATTCTAGAAGTCTTACGATCATTCATCTTAGTTTCATTCTCATTTTTTAATTTGGTTTGACCATGCATAGCTCGATCAATCACCTGAGCATTAGTCACTGAGTTCTTCTGAGTTTTATTTCTTTCCATTTCACGTAGAGCACGTTGCTTTTTGACAGAACCAAAAGCATTGATAAGAGCAGCTCTCTGAAAAGAAAAAATGTAAGTAGTACACAGTTAAATCAAGGTTTAATTTTATATGAAATAAAAGATGTAATTCTAAATGACAATGCGAAATTCGATGGATATATAATAATAATTTTGTGTTTTCTAAACTACTGATTTGATTAACTGATTTATGGGCATTCCTTGATGTAATTGAAGCAATTTAACTGACAGCCTCAAATAATTCTATACGTTTACTGGATACAAGATTGTACACTACTTTGATTTGCACTTAAGTTCCTAATATCAATGTACTACCTTACAATAGTTCAACAAAAACCTACATGAATTTTGAAATGACACAATCAAAGAGTGAGGAGCTTGAATTTATTATCAAAAAAAATTTCGTATGCTAAATAAACTAAACGTTACATTTACCAATTTAAAACTAGCTAAATTACTTGATGATTGAAATATAAATATAATAGTAGTTGAGTTTTGACTTACATCAGCTTTCAATGTATTGGGGACTTCAATTACATCATCTGAAAATAATGTCAGTAGGAAAGATAACAACATACCATCGAAACAAGGCTCAAGGAATTCCGGTTTTTTATGAATGACTTCAACACCTTTTGTTCGTTTGTTGTAAATTATAGTAGCATAACTACATTAAAAAAAAAAAGTAAATTTCCTGGATAATTGGGCAAACTTAAAACATATAAAGCATAAGAATAGCAAGATTTCTTCACAAAAAAGACTAGAGGCAACCCATCCATAGAGCCACTTTCATCAGTTTAGACGTAGGAGCAGTATGACAACATTCAAACAAGTCGGAAACGTGAACAAAATGTACAAACTAGTCTCAGATTATTAAAGCCAAATAATATAGGATGAACATAAATACTGCCTAAAAATCACAATCACCATTGTTGACTCCAAAACTATTAAAAAAATCCGAGAAAATACAAATTTTAAATACAATTACCACAATATGAAAGAACTCGTACTTAGAATCCCTTAAAGGAGATTTTAACTTGCTACTATAAAGCACATTACCGATTTGACAGCTCTAAGAATTCAATAATAAGTGAATCATGAACAATTAAATCGGTACCACAATGGATTTTTCAATATTCTGAGCACATACGTCAACATATGCTGGCAAAACATCTGCAACCGTCATATCACTTGTACCTAGTGAAAAGGGTGCTTTAAAACATTCGATAAAATACTATGCTCCTACCTGGGAAGAAATTCATTGATTCCATTTTCAGTTTTTCCTTATATTATGAAGACAATGAAAACCAATGAAAAAATATCGGATGGGTTGAGAGTAAGGTAGTTTATTCCCCAGACAAACTTCAAATTATATTCCCTTAGATGCAATGTGATATTCAGCAGTGGATTTTATATTAATCGTGGCTGTTCTAGATTTATTGACACCAAATATCCTGAAATAAATAACAAAAATACTTCTGGTTATTCCGCTGATTTCTGCGAAAGCTTGTTAAAGGTTATAAGTGTTAGGATAGTCATAGCACTGCGAAAAGCCTCTGGTAAAGCTAAAAATAAGGAACCAAAGTTAAAAACAAGCTAGATGTGAGCGACAAAAATTAGGAACATGACGTGGTAACTAAGCATATATGACCAAATTGAAACCGGTTCCTGGAGAACGTGCAACAAAGAATCATTCTTAAATATTATTACGTAGATTTTCCCATCTGTGCTATCCTTCTCAGTTACAAATGCTGGCCCCCTTTTAGTAATTTTAGTGGCTGAAGACTTTCGTCTCTATTTTGCAAGGAAGCTCGCGACATGGCAGTAATACCTCAAAAGTTATATGCCAATTTTCGAAATACATCTGCAATATTAGGCGTCCAATCTTAACAGAAGCCTATAAATTATATGTTAATACCTGTATAGAACTAAAATAGGTTGTCTATTATTGCGTCGTTTAGATATTTAACTTTTGAGGTCGAAATGTACTTCAATGTTTCTACAGTAAGAATGTTTTTGCAATTTTTTAGACTCGAACTAGACCTGACACCTATAAAGAAACACCAATACATGCCTGCGTACAGTTAGCACGAGAGTTACATGCTATCTACGAAATACTAGATGTGCCTGAGGACCATACGTAACTAATTGAATTTTTAACGACAGAAAGTACACGATTTATTATTAAAAACACTAGTAAATGGATGAGAACAAAATATACATACTTCTAAAAGTATGATTTTCCAGGGGTAGAAAGTTTTCATGGTATAGGTTACATAAGCGAAATTATAAAAAATTAAGTAAACTGATAGGTGATTTTTCCACATGCACAAAGGAAAATATAACAATAACCTAAAAACAGCTAGTCACGAGTTTCGGAGACCTGACGTGTAACGGAGTCAAAATCACCATGTATGATGTCGCTAACCCGTTCTGATTTCCTTCTATTTCAGGGCGATCAAACACAAACGCTTTGGAAGCTGAAGAACAAGCCCTGAGTGCTCTGAACCTACAGGATGACTCATAAGACTTTGGTACACCTATTTCTGTAAAAACCCCGCGTATTTAATTTTCAAGTCGGTGGTATTTGCCGGTGGCGTTCGAAGTAGGTGTTTTCTTAGTGGTCCATGCCCCAGCCCTTCAACACAACGGGAGCGTACCAGTTCGTCCCATCCCGAGGCATCCCATTCGGGAAAAGCTTGCACTGCAATTTCTTGTAAAGCATCGACGTTCTCTATCGGACTTCCTCCAGATTTCTGGTGACGCGACAAAAATTGCATGGTCACCTGCTGTTTATCCGCAGGCAAGTAGAAACATTCATCCAATATCTTCCAGTTTTGAGGTCAAGAATCGCTTGTTGAGAAGCCGTATGCTGCTACTTTCTTTACCATCTCATCACTCAGGAACGATATGAGGCCATGCAATTTTTGTCGCATCACCAGAAATCCGGGGAAAGTCCGACAGAGAACGTCGATGCTTTACAAGAAATTGCAGTGCAAGCTTTTCCCGAATGGGATGCCTCGGGATGGGACGAACTGGTACGCTCCCGTTGTGTTGAAGGGCTGGGGCATGGACCACTAAGAAAACACCTACTTCGAACGCCACCGGCAAATACCACCGACTTGAAAATTAAATACGCGGGGTTTTTACAGAAATAGGTGTACCAAAGTCTTATGAGTCATCCTGTAGGTTCAGAGCACTCAGGGCTTGTTCTTCAGCTTCCAAAGCGTTTGTGTTTGATCGCCCTGAAATAGAAGGAAATCAGAACGGGTTAGCGACATGGTGATTCCGACTGCGTTACAAACGCCACAGCCAAATACTGCGCCCTCCGATGTTCAATATGTCAGACATCAGTTTCACGAGCTACGAGGAATAAATTTTTGATCTAACCAATTAATAGCAATAGTAAAACACCAGACTGTAGACGTGCATCTTCATAGCTGGTTCAAGTTGCAGATGATAATCCATATGCGAGTACGTGTTGATCAATCAAAAGCAACGAAGAAATTCGTACGTACGTACATCAGTTTATGTTGCTATACCATATTAGCACAGAGATGTAATTGTCGATTCAAATCCAATGGTAGCAGAGGTAGGGAAGGTATTAGCAGTAATCGGCGAGGTAAGAATTAGAAGATATTATTCAAGAAGTAGAATCTATTGAAGTAAACGTAAAAAGATAAGGATAAAGTGATGAGGAATTACAAAGTTTAGGATTTGAGAGCACACAAAGAATGAACGCACCTGCGCCATTGCAAACAGTCTTGATCCGTGTCATTCAGGGTCTCAAATCATCGATTATTATCATTTCGCGGACCCCAACCAGGTAGGCGACACCTATGAACGTGGCTCAGTCCACTTGTCAGTGACTTAATGGATTTGTCCATTATTTGGTCTGGCCAACGTTGGCTTTCGTCCAACCAATTCCTACACCGTAAAAAATTATCGGTGGTTAGGCATATGCAATACATGTCCCGACCATCTCAACTGATAAAGTTTCAGTACTTAATCTATTGATCTGTCATCCTTACCTAATACTCGTTTCCTAATGACAGCATTGCTTACTCGGTTGTCCCACGATACACGAACAATGCTTCCTAGACACCCATGATCGAAAACAAGTAACCTACGAACTTCTTCGACTCTCACGGGCCATGTTTCGCATCCATATAAGAGAACGGAGCGAACTGCTGCACAGTATACTCGACCTTTGGTTAGCAAACGGATATCTCGCCTACGCCATAAATGACGACGGTTGGAAAAAGCCAATCGAGCTTTCTGTATCCGTGCTGATATTTCGTCAGTCACCAGGCCATCAGCACTGATGAAACTCCTGAGATAGGTGAAGCGGTCTATACGTTCGACTACTTCACTCCCTATCACTAGTTCAGGTGCCGATGCAACCCAGTCTTGAAGCAAAATTTTGCATTTCGAGGGTGAGAATCGCATCCCGAACATGCTTGCATTGTTGCTTAGGGTGATCAGAGGAGTCTGCATTTTGTCAGCGTCTTCACCAAATAGAACTATTCTGATCCAGCAGGCGTTTCTACTAGCAGAAGGTTCACCCCTGAAAATAAGACAATGTTATATCTAGCGGCATATCTATGACAAAATTGAACAAAAAAGACGAAAGTGCAGTCCTGAAAAACACCATTTCAAGCAAAGAATTTCGAAGACAGTTCGTCATAAGCTCTGACTCGACCTGTAGTGTTCGAATGAAGAGCATGTATAAGGTACACATTTTAAAGACAGGAACTGCCACAGAACCTCGCGATCCACACAATTTAATGCCGCTTTTAGGTCCAGGAACACGACTATTGTCGGACGCATAAATGTGTGTGTGTTCCAAGACCGGTCGTAATGTGAAAATGTGGTCTATACAGACACGTCCAGGTCTGAAACCAGACTGGTTTTCTCTAGTCTGCTCTTCACGAGCTCTAGTTAGGCGTCTAAGGATAACTGAGGCTAACAATTGAGAAACTATATTAATGAGACTTATTACTCTGTGACTGTCATAAGAACACTTTTGTCCTTTCTTAGGAATTCGGACAATCACGAACTGAGACCAGACATATGGGATTACGCAAAATTCAATATGAAGGCTTTGTTTTGAGAAAATCCCTTCATGTACATATTTGAAATATATTCTTACTGACTCTTTCTGTGCTACATTTTGGTTCTTTGTTTAGTCCTAGTATGTGATGCTAATATTTGTATTTTGTTATAGTTTCTATTTTTTGTACCTTTATTGGAGTTTCTATGTCTTCTACTGAACTGTATTATGTTGTTTAAATTGATAATTACTTATGGCGTCAGTCATATCTGATTTGACACCCCGGTGAGTGAAACTTGAATCTGGACTGGAAGGGTGCAATTTTGGACCTATACGGAAGCATTCTTTCTGAATTGGAAACATATTGTGTTAAATTCCTCAGAGAACAGTGTAATGTTGTTTAGGTAATGGTTTATAAATTTTAAATAATAATAGAACCGTTTCTTACCCAGATAAATTGCTTTCTTATTGGGATACTGGGAAAGGCTCGTATCTAAACTTCCAAAACTGTTCTTCCGAATTCAGAAGCCGCTCAAAAAAACCGACAGATTCTACCTAAAATCTCAGTCAATCTAGTTGCTCAAACTGGGCCACCCCCCTTAAAATCACGGGGTTAAATCTACCAGGATATGCTGCTCTCCCTCGCACCAGATTTCCTGCCCCTTCGGCAGCTTCATAAAGATTCGGATAACCTACATCGATTTGCCATTCAGGAAGAATGGAGTTCGTGGGCAGCCAAAGTGTAGATGAGGGCTAATTGAACTGATCCCTTAGGTGTTATGCCCATCGATCCAATCTCCTGGAATGAGATTGAAGTATAAGCCTATCCTTTTCCTGAATAGTGTCTCAAATTCGTGTTTCTATTTAGTACCAGGAATAACGTGTGCTTCAGTGATGCGAGGCGATAAACGATCGAAGAATGAGTCGGTCAAAGAGATAAGAGTTATTAAGAGATGTAGAAAGGATTTGATTGTGCCAAATTTGTTCTTGTGTGCTTGTATGGGTAGGAAGTGGACAGACAAATTGAAAAGCCTGTAGATGCTGATCAACTACTGTCAATTACATGGAACTCAAACACCGTGTATCATTGTGAGTATCTTCTTATTTAAGTAATAACAGTTTAACTAATTTTTATTTCCCCAATTCATTAACATCCAAACACCTTGCCTGCTTACCAACTTATCGCTTTACTTATTAATTTTTAACATTATTTCAACCATTTTTTTCACTTTCTCCTCGTTCCAGCTCCCTGTCCTTCCTATTTCCAAACTACCTATTAATTGACTCATCTTACAAATCATACCATTCGTTTACTTAAAATCAGTGTGATATGCTATGCGGATATATTGTCTGACAAAGTTGTCTGGATTGCTTGTAATGTTGGAGCTAGTAGAGAATGTTAATTCCGATAAGGTGTACAAAAAAAAAATTGAGAGTAGACTAGAGACCATTATTTACAATTAACCATTAAACGTAAGAGAGCCTAACATCACAAAAGGAGGGAGGGTGGTGTATCTGACCAACATTCATGACGGTGGGGCGATAACCTCAATCTACCCATGTCTGTGTGGCAGAACATTTTGTTTGCTTACGGCTCCTTACGATATGGCAGGATGTAACAAATCAGTGATATTGATGTTACTTTTCCTAGTTAACCTCGTCTACAACCCATGTCTGTAACCTTTCACTGGTTTTTACTTCCTACCGAGAAATCTTATTACAAGCTGGTCTGGACAACTATACTAGAAAAGAGCTCATTCATAACTTCTTGAGCCTCAGAGTTAAAAATAAAAAGAATAAATGAGACAAAAAATTATATCACTGAGCCTCTTTATTATATTTTGTAAATCAACATTATTACTAACAACTTGGTTCTTCTGAATTTCCTCTATTCATTCGACTAACTTCTCATTAGTTATCTCACTACTGAATTGTCTTCATTAACCTACATAAGTGCAAGTGTTCAGTTATTGTTAAAAAAAGTCTGAGTAAACATACCTTTGTTTTATCCATAAACGTATGTGCGAAGCCGTTGTTCGGCTTTGAACATGAATATTATCTGTTCCGCTCCTCGTCCCGTTTTCTTTATTCCTCTTTTTTCAGAACCTTATTCCAATCCACATATATTAGTCTGAATATTTGCAGTAGACTTGGTTACCCTACCCAAGAACATGTGAAATCATTAGCTGATGAATATCAACCAGACCTTTGTACATTTACCGCATCAATTCTTGTTATATGAAAACCTATGCCTACCATGAATCGTTTCTCAGTCCATAAGATGATTGTCGTAACGCAACCTTCGTAACTTGCGCCAATTATTCGCATTGTACATTCCATCTTTAAGAATCCAATGAATCTTGTGAAATGTTTCAGTAACTGTATACTGTTTTAAAAGAAATATGTTGTTAATCTTAACATTTTGATCTTGCCTGTAAATTGGCATGTCTCTTGTAACATGTTTGTTATTTGAGAATAAAC